CTCATCACGCGGTTGACTCTGATCAGTGTCTATTCACGCTGTTGACTCTCTGATCAGTGTCTCGTCACACGGTTGTGTTTGCTACGTGCGTAATTTTCAAAAGCCCAATATCCATTTTTTAATTTGAAACCATAATCTTGGATGCCTAAATCCAAGTTGGTTAGTTGGTGCTGATTTCCTTGTACCTGTCTACAAAGTTGACAATGTTGGGATTCTTCATCTCCTTCATGACCAGGATCTCGTTAATGATCAGCTCTTTCTTGGGCTGCTTCTGCAAATTGATCTGCTTGATGGCCACCTGCGCGGCAAGTACAAAGTCCAACATACACTTCAATACACAGAACATAGGTAAAAATATTTTCGGCGCTGTCGGGCGGAAATTCAAACGTGTATGTTCAAGTATGCTCATTCCGAAAAAAATAAAATATATATGTTGTTGGTCTGTCCCCATGTCATCTGTTATCCATACGCAATATAATCGAAATTTAGGAAAAGCGAGGTGCCGCTGTACAAGGTGGTGTTCATACCAACTTGAACGATACGGGGTTGAATAACTCAAACAAGAAGGCGTTTTTGGAGATTTTCTGAAAAGAGTCATTTTGGCGACACTGACGATCGAGATACAGTAGGTCACGATACAGTATTGCAGTTGCATACCTCCTGCCCTGTAGCAACATCTATGGCCGTGTAGACGGTTCCAGATGCTCTGTAAGTACAGAAAAAGCAAAGCAACAGTGATTAAAAACACGCTGCATTGAAATCCCGCATTTGAAGCCTCGGCTCGAAATCCTGATTCGAATCCCTAACCCAGGATTCAATCAGTAATTTAATTTTAAAACTGGAACCAACAACCCTGTGCATGAAACCCCAATCCAAGTCTGAAAGCCTCATTTGTAAACCCAAACCCTTGATTGAATATTAATTTGAAATCTTTGTCATTACGTAAAACTCTAATTTGAATTGCTAGTTGAAAGCCTCATTTAAAACCAGAACCCTGGCTTGAAACTGTAATTGGTTCTGGATACCCCAATGCAGACATTTGAAGCCGTAACCGTTAGGTTAGCAACACTTAGGGCCTTTACTGAGACCTAACCCTATCTTGAAACCTTAACTCAGGATAGTAACCTGACTGGAAACCCTAAACCAGGTTTGAAAGCCAAATTTAAAACCCGTAAATTTGCTTGAAACCCTAATTTGAAAATCCAACTTGAAGCGCTAATTTGGCATCAAAACCTACTCCAGGTTTGAAACCCAAACCTTTGCTCGAAACCCTAATCAAGGATGTCAAACTCAAGGTTGGTTCCACATCTCCTCCAGAAAGTTATGTCCTCACCCTTGTCCGATCTTCTCGTATCGAGTGTATTTCTTCTTGGGATCTCCGATGCTAACGATCGTTCCTAAAGGACAACAAACATTAAACCCAATCAGTTTCTTCCACGCGGCGTCATTTCACCAGGGAGCGGGCTGTCTTACTGAGTTTCTCCATGATTTCCTCATCCGTCATTTTGCCGCCTTTCTTCTTCTGCCTGTCGGCCGCCTTGGAGACCGCGTCGCCCTCCGGAGGCGGGAGAGGGTCGATCACTGACCGCGTGTAAACCTGAGAGATGACCAAAGGATAACTCATGAGCATGCAAATGAGCTAAGGCCTCCACCAAGACCAAACTGTTCACCCGTAAGCGGGCACTCCAATCCACTTGCCACAATATTCAGGCTTGAATATCTTACTTAAAAACCTAACCCTGACTTGATGAAACTATCATTTGAGATGCACTCTACTGCTCTTTTCGAACCACTCACCGACTTGGTGTGTTCCGGCCTGGGTGCCACGACGGGCGGTGGCGTGTCGTCGTCATCGTCGTCATCAGCGTCTTTGCCGCCCGGCGAGGAGCTGCTGGTGACCTGCTTAACCTGCACAGCCCGAGGAGGAGTACGAGTTCGTGAAGCAAGTGACAAGCGTATTTTAACCTGACCGATGGGCGGGCACTCACCGACGGTGAATCTTTATCTGCGTGGGTGGTGGAACGAGGCAAACAAATGAAGGTTCTTGTTTGCAAACGTGTGATGTTATTGCAGAGAAAGGAAGGTGAGGAGACTGACCTGAGGCTGAGAAGCTGAGGTACTTCTGCTTCCCGCTGGTGGAGTCATAGAACTTGAGGATATCCAAGACCGCCTGGGGATTCTGCTTCTGTTCAGATTTGCTGATGTTGGAGGTTTGGAGGAGACGGGCCCATTGCTCCGGCATGCCCTGGAGATCAGAAATTAGGGACTTGAGTCATGAAACCTGTCCCTGGCTTAAACCCATGACCTCTTGCCCTTGCTTGAAACCTTAACCCTGACCGTGTTCTGATCTAAAATGTTCATGCTGTCCCCTTACCGTGAACTCTCCAGTGACGGCATCAAAGCCCACGTGGATGGTGTGTTCAAAGTCAGACGGGGAGGAGATCTCCGGCCTATCCTTGTCCCGGTCCTTCTTCCTACCTCCTGCAAGGCAATATGTCCATGTTAACTGGTTAGCTGCGTGCGTGACTTTATGGTAGATGTGTGCGTGTGTGTGTGTGTGTGTGTGTGTGTGTGTGTGTGTGTGTGTGTGTGTGTGTGTGTGCGCGTGCGTGTCTAACCTTTCTCCGAGGCAAAAATTGAAATGATCTTGTTTCTGGATTTGCGCTCCTCGGGCACGGACGGAAGCGGCCGAGAGCTATGATTGGTCGACTGGGAGTCCTTGGCTCCTCCTCCTTGGCTACTCATCCTGACAGGGGGGGCGGGGGGCTTGTCCTCGCACAGTCCGCTGTCGCACATCTACACACGCTTGGACCTGGAGAGAAAAACACACGCAGAGATGAATTGAGCATGCACAACAGTTTTTTTGTTTGTTTTTTTTTAATCAAATCCGAACTGCGCTGGCTGATTTTCTGTATTTTAATAACAGCGGTGAGGAGATCTTTCCCGAAACCTGAAAACAACAACAAAAAATGATCGCAACATATCATCCATTCAGCAATGCAATTTTGGACCTTCCGAATGATCTACAGGATGACTTGGAGCCAGTCACCTCATCTGAAATAATTAGCATTCTACATAGTGCATTAAGTACAACAGTTTCGGATGGAAAGAAATGTGCACCTTACAAAGTGCATTAAGTACAACAGTTTTGGATGGCAAGAAATGTGCACCTTTCTTCCATCCAAAATCCACAAAAAAAAACAGAATTCTTAATACATGTCTTTCGTCATCATGACACCGAGTATCCGAGTATTGCCAGTCAAATGAGGAAGGTCACGATTGCAGGGTGTTTGTTGCCGGCGGTTGCCAGTCAAATGACGAAGGTCACGATTGCAGGGTGTTTGTTGCCGGCGGTTTTGAATAAAAGCTTTGCAATATATGCCTTGCTGTTTGTTTGAAGCCCTTGAAAAGTGGAATGTTTCGAGCTCACTTGATGAGGTCCGTGATTACACTTCAAATTACAAACACCAGAACGAGGACAGGTATATTACGTGTTTGGCCAACTTTGCACGACCCTGGATGTCCCAGTGGCAAGCATACCGAGCAAGAGGATTTTTTTTTTCTCCAGCTAGCTGGAAATACCGTCACGTTCCATTAGACTTCACCCAGTCCCTGTCAATGTTCTTGTCGTCTAACATGTCAGTTCTGCAAAAATTCTGGATGAGCTGTCTGTTGTCGGTAAAGATAGACTGCAAAGTATTTCCTCCTTCTGTGATTTACAACACAAAAATTATAGTGCTATACCGAAAAAATATCAGTGACATGTCACCAGCTACTCGTCACTGTGACTTTTCATCACGTTGGTGTCCACATAAAAAAAAAACATCAAAGTCACACAACCCCGAATGACAAGAGCATGAGTTTTATAGAAATGAGAGTCTCCTCGTGTAGCTGCATGTTGTCAGCCACAATGAAAAGCAACAAACCACAATCAGAAAAACCAGAAGCGCTTTCATGGCCTCGTAAAAGTGGCCTTATTTTTTTTGCTGTGACATCACAAACAGGAAACAGGAAGTGTTTTGTGAATTGGATTAAAAAAAAGAAAGAAAAACCCAAACAACAAAGGAAAAAGACTTTAGCATGATTTTCCAAAAAGGCCCTTCATCACATGCCGACAACCCATAAAGCCAAAACGGACATAGAAGCGACCACTCTGCTGATATCATTCACCTATTCTTTGACGATGGCGACCAGGCACTAACCTTCTGATGCCTCTTCTGCGTCTTACAGAAGACCCGAGAGCCGTGTTAGTTCTACGTCCCTCTTTCTTTGCTGCGTTTACCTACCACTGAGCGCCGTGGCTCATGCCAGCCCCTTACCTTAACACTTTTTGCAAGGCAGGTCTGAGCTGGCCGCCTCATTCCACAGCGACGGTACACTAAGCAAGTGTATACTTGCCTGGGCCCGGATAGGATTCCATAGCTCCGGGGCACACACACATAGAAAGAGTGATTCCCTATTGTCAATCTGATCTAATGATCTGAGTCGGGCCCGAGCGATAAAAATGAGCTAATAGTGCACTCGTCTGACCTGTGAGCGGACAGCATGCGATCAGTTCCCACTCAGTGATGAAGTCGATGTGGATGTGAGTGGTTGTTCGCCTCTATATGTGCCCTGCGACCCACTGGCGGCCAGTTCAGGGTGTAGTCCGCCTTCCACCCGAAGACAGCTGGGATAGGCTCCAGCACCCCCCGTGACCCTGTTCAAGGATAGGTGGTGTTGAAAATAGATGGATGGATTTTTTTAGAGGCTTTCATAGTTAGAAGCATGTCCCTGCTGATGTGCATTTCTTATACAGGGTTCTACATTACGAAGACATGTCCTTCAAAATCTATCTGGATCAGATGATTTTATTTTGTATAACCACTTGATGAATTCAACACACCATTTTTTTTCCCAGGTGGTGGAACCAGCACTGGTCCTGTATATTCATGATATAATATGATAAGTTTCAATGATTTCATACAAAATATTTGGTCCCTTCTGGTAGCATCTTGGTGCCAAACACCAATGATGAACTGAGGGGAGGAGCTTAATTTCAGGCCATAGCTTTGTTTAGTAGTAAAAAGTGGTTTGCCGCCATCTTGTGGCAACTACAGGCAATAACAAGCTTTTTTTTTTTTTTTATGTGGGAGTCAATCACTCACAGGTTCTAGCAACTATTTATCAATTGACATGTGGAATTTTTAGACCTGGGCTGTCCTGTATGCGTCCAAGCCAGTATTTTGATGAGGTTTGAATTGGATTCATTGTTCTGCCCTAATTTTTGACTATTTCCCACCCTCATACACATTTACACACAACACACCAAGCTGTTTACAGGATGTGACCAGCGCAGTCTCTTTGTTGGGCTTCTGTAGAAGGAAATGGTGTGGAGGACTTCCTGGAAGTTGCAACGACGCCCGTGCACTCGCGCCCAACAGACTGAGACACAAACACACCCACACATGACGACTTGACTCCTGCGACCGCTCCGGTCACAACTCATGTATATAAACACCACCTGGCTGCTCACCTCCACATCCTGTTATTCAACCACACAACACTGCAAAAGCCGGCGTGTTATCACCTTTTTGCCCCTATGTTCTGTACAGGTTTCCAGTTTCTAGGGTGAAAATGGTAGTGGCTCTAATGCAGACCAGGCCATGATCTCCTGTCGGAAAAGACCCAACCATCTATTCTTGGGCGTCCAGTCCAGAAACAAGTGGTGCTAGTGGAAAGCAAACCTTGACGATCAATAGAGTATTGAAATAGATACGAAAGAGGAATTGAGTGGTGAAATGTTAACTGACAATTAGTTTATTATTTCCAATAATTTGGTCATTGTAGGTCATTGATATTTGGGTGTTGTAGTAATTTGTGAATTTAAGTTTGTAGCCCCCTGCTGCCCTATTTGAGATTGACAAAGGTTACGTAATCGGGAGTTCGCCAGTTTGAAGAAGAAAGAGACAAAAGAGGCAGCAGTTAGTTTGAGGGGAAGGACGAGAGTTTGAGCGGTCTGTCAGCAAGTTCTTCATTTTCTCATGACGGTATGTCAGCACGACTCACTCACTCACTCACTCACTCACTCACTCACTCACTCACTCACTCACTCACTCACTCACTCACTGTGACTGACAAGTACTTGTCAATTGGAATTCAAACATTCAATGCGAGCACAACTGTACTCATCAATTATGTTTTTCGACACAGTCTACCGAGGTTTGCGAAAGGACGCTAACACGGAGATGGAGAATTTTCAGATTTTATGTCCTTCACTCCTAGATGTAGGCGTTGTGGGCGTAAAGAGGGAGGCTGATAGATGTCGAGGCCTCCCGTCAAGTTTGCTTCACCGTCTGCACACCCCTGCCACAACTTGTAATTGTACATTTTTATTCTTTTCAAAATGGTGTTTACCACCGATACATAAGTGGGGAATCCAAGTTGCCACACTTCAATTGTCTCGTCACGTATTTCTGAACTAAAAGAAAACCTTTGCGATTATAATCACAGTGACTTGGCTCTGTCATGACTGCTTCAACAAAAACTGATCCACCTTGGTGACTGCAGTCCTTTTTTTCCCATGTACAAAAAGTAGCAAATCAGAGAACAGCAATGTTTTGGTCGTTCTGGTCCAAATCGATGATAATAGGTTTTTGTGTCCACTGACTGGTAGGGACGTTGATGAGTATTGAACAGACGTGAAAGCCGTCAATCTAATCAGAAGGAATGCTTCAAAAAGAACATTCATTCACATGGCGCAGGATAACAATTCCTTGTTTCGGTGTCGGTCAGCACAACGCGTGACTTGTAAACGAGAGAATAACCATTCTAAACTCACCGGTTCACTGTCAACGACAAAAAAACGGGATGCACTTGAATCAAACTCCTCAGACTCCGCCCCCGTTTTCTTTGCCTCAAAATACGGAAAAGAAAAAAAGCTGTCGATTTGAAGCTTCTTTAATGCTCTGGGTGTGTTAATACGGCATCGTTTATCGTTTTTTTTTTTGTCCTTTTCTTTCTCCTGACCTCTCCCTGCCTTGGCGTTTTGCTCAGCCCCGGAGGAGGAAGAATCCGTTGCGTGGAAAGGAAGCGGAATGTCGTACATATTTGGACGTCGCAGTTTCCGTAGCAAATGCGGAACGGCGCGGAAACCGACAATAGATTGTTGCATTCATTGACATCGGAAAATAGCAGACACTATTCGTGGCAAAGTGGGTGAAGTGTTTACAATTAAATGCCGTTAGACGTGCCTAGTAAGAACGATAGTTTTCGGAACTGAGTTTAATGCTGTTATTAAATCAAATTGTTAACATACAACTTGCTGCCTTAAAAAATCATATTTTAAACCCGTGTATCCTGGGCTGGCGGAATGTTTTGCTGTGACGTCACGAGGTGCAAGCAAACGCAACTGTAAAAGAGCCTCCATCATCACTCACGTCGAGAGCGCTTTGGGAGGGGCAAAATGGCGACTGTAAGCCAGGGGCGACACTAAAGTCGGGAAGGCGTTCATGACAAACACGCCGTACACTGTTGTCGCCAGCCGAGTCAGACTCGCTGTGCCTTGGCGTTTTGCTCAGCCCCGGAGGAGGAAGAATCCGTTGCGTGGAAAGGAAGCGGAATGTCGTACATATTTGGACGTCGCAGTTTCCGTAGCAAATGCGGAACGGCGCGGAAACCGACAATAGATTGTTGCATTCATTGACATCGGAAAATAGCAGACACTATTCGTGGCAAAGTGGGTGAAGTGTTTACAATTAAATGCCGTTAGACGTGCCTAGTAAGAACGATAGTTTTCGGAACTGAGTTTAATGCTGTTATTAAATCAAATTGTTAACATACAACTTGCTGCCTTAAAAAATCATATTTTAAACCCGTGTATCCTGGGCTGGCGGAATGTTTTGCTGTGACGTCACGAGGTGCAAGCAAACGCAACTGTAAAAGAGCCTCCATCATCACTCACGTCGAGAGCGCTTTGGGAGGGGCAAAATGGCGACTGTAAGCCAGGGGCGACACTAAAGTCGGGAAGGCGTTCATGACAAACACGCCGTACACTGTTGTCGCCAGCCGAGTCAGACTCGCTGTGAAACGTGCGAAACAAGGCTGTGTATCAAACCGGCGTGCTAAGCTAACGCGCCCAACGCGCTAACCACCCATCAGCCGCCGTACGCGAATCACAGAACGCCTTCAGTAATAGCTGCTAGGTTAGTCCGGACTTGAAACAGCTCATCCTCCCCACTCCGAGCTGGAACCCCTCCTTGCCTTTCTCCGTACTTCACTGACTGAATTTATATGTGTAAACATGTGTGCAGGCGGAATGGCTTTCCGTAGGAGCTGGTTCAGTTGGGACAGGTACAGTGAGGTGGACCTCTTCACCGAGCGCTTGGACCAAAACAACAGCCTCTCCCAGGCCATCCGGGCCGCCGCCTCTGACGAGATGGACGCCGACGGCAACGTGCTGTTCGGCCAGATCCAGGGCACCGTAGTGGGCCTCAAATATTACAGCGGGGTGGTGAGCATCCACATGAAACCCTCCCACCATAAAAGTGGTCAATACATGCTCTCTTTTGCTCATTCATCGCCAATAATTACATCATTCTTATTACGGCCTGCTTTGAAGCTTTGGCAACCCGTTTACCAACTGTAGTTAAGATATGTCCGGGCCATATGCCTTCTTAAACTTGCTTCAGAAAGTACAGTGGACCCTTCAAAGTTGGAACATAACCAGCATGTGATGCTAATACATCAACAAATTTTAAAATGGGTTAGTTATCAATTGCGATGATCCAAGTGGAAAAACAAGCCATAGAGCCCATTCAGATGGTGACACTGAAATGGTTGTAATTTCAAAGCATTTTCCCAACCGTGAGCAATTTTCACTGAAACCGTTTCGTTCTTTATAAAAGCACAAAAATGGTGCACTGCCAACTTAAGAACAGTTTCTTCTGTTCCGAGGAACCAGGAAGTGTAGCTGACCGATTCATCTGCCAGCCAATCTTGGCTCTTTCATTTGGGAAGTCAAATCAAAGGTGGCTATTTTGCCACATGCTGTCAACTGGAAATGACATCACAGTTGCTGGCTCGGGTGATGACCAATCACAGCTCAGCTTGTAATTATCCCATGACCAAATTGAGCGAACGGCTGAGCCATAATTGGTCATTACCTGAGACTGCAACTGTGATGTCATTTTCCGTGGACAGCAAGTGTCAAAATAGCCCCCCAGGAGATACAATACACTACATCTTTATTTATATTGTGCTTTCACAACATCTGTAGCTGTAACAAAGCACTTTACAGAACGGTTAACATAAAATAACAAACTATATATAACACAACGTAACATTAGACATGGACAGTCATCCCGCCTCTCGAAGTTAAGATAGGCTCCAACACTTCTTCAACATTGTTTGATAAGCGGGATAAAACATGAAAATGGATGCATGGATATTTAGGAGTTCACAAAAGCACAAAATAAACCAAAGACAAAGGAAAACACGAAAGTTGTCGAATACAGCACACGTAAATTGCCCTCTAGAAATCACTTATCAATGAAAGTGATGTGTTCCAGTGTCACCGCAATCACAAACAGCCCAATAAAAAGACAATGTAGATTTCAACACGGTCACTTTTTAGCCTGTTATTCAAGTGTAAAAAAAAAAGTTAACCTCACTTGTCGATATGACATTGGTACGCTTAGCTCACGTCCCAGGAAAAAAGTCACATTATCTCAAGAGTCAATTATGAATGGAAATAATTTGGTCCAGAATTAGACTGTACCCATCATTAAGCCCTAATTTCACATTCCTTCAAAAAAAAGTTAACCACTGTATATGCAAAGATGTCTTCTCCAGACACGTATTACAAATTACCGGTACTTTGATTTGAGCAGCTAGGACAAGAGACGTTGAATTGTTCATAGGTGTGATTGCGAGTGAATTTGTCTATACATGCCTTGTGATTGGCCTGCAACCTGTACGGTATATTTATGGCACATCCCAGCTTTTGCCAGCCAATCGCAGACCTTTACGTCCCACTGTGGATTTTTTTGGCTGCATACGCATCTGACTGCTGTATAACCAACGTTAACGGCATCACTCTTTGAACAGGTAAACCAAGGCGAAATGGTGGGCCTGGAGCGTGAACCCCATAACCTTTACGACCGCAACGCCATCATGGTCGCCAACATCTACGGCAGCCAAGTTGGCCACATCAGGAAAGACCTGGCTGAAGCCATGGCGTACATCTTGGACCGCAAGTTGGCTAAAGTAGAAGGGTGAGATGGGACTTTGAAGTGAAATGTAGAATGCAAATTGTGAAATTTTAAAATAGCGAATACCTGTGATGAGGATTTTACAATCTGTAGTGGCAATTTGGGGAATGTGGTAAAGAGCTTGTGATGTGTCCTAAATGAGCTGAAGTGTTTGACATTGGAATGGTTTGAATTAGTGGAGGAATGTGGAAGCATGAGCGGCATAGTGGGCGACTGGCTAGTACGTCCGCCTCACAGTGCAGAGGCGCAGGGTTTTGTTTCCGGCTCCGGCATTCCTGCGTGGAGTTTGCATGTTCTCCCCGTGCCTGCGTGGGTTTTCTCCAGGTATAATGAATGAATGGAAGGAATTTTTGGAAGTTGGAGCTGAGTGAATCAGATGAGAAATGTATGGAAAGATTAGATTGTGAAAAAAAAGACATCTTAAATTTTAATTTTTTGTCAAAGGAAATGCCGGATACGGAAAAAGGTGTGAATGTGGGGAATGTGGAAAACATTTACAATATTAAAGAATGAGATGAATGTTTTGAAGTTGGAATGGTCTCAAGTGAATTAGTAGCGACATGGAAGAATGAGTTAAATATCAGAAAAAAAGGATTCAATTAGATTATTTTCATGGCAATTGTGGGAATATAAAAAATAGTTGCCTTGATGCCCTGCACGAGCTGAGAATTTTGACGCTGGTTGAGAGATCTGGAGATTTAAGTACAAAAATGTGTCATAATGATGAATAACTTTTTTTGAGGGGGGCGGCATGTACTGGTTTGAATGCTCTTCAGCAATTGTCACATTTTTCTGTCAGCGTGGTGCACTCTTCGACAAAGAACAGATTCTCCATGCCTGTGATTTTGTCCTTCTGGGGAAAGGAGGAGAACAAGAGCGCCGTCATTCAACGTTTGGCATGCTATGGGTACAAACTCATCACAGGTGGCGTTCACCGCACTCACCTCTTGGAATAATAGATACTTTGTGTGCATTAGATGTCGATTACTCTTGTGTGTGGTTTTTAACTCAGGTGCGAATCAGAAGCTGTCTAGCTCCGGAGCTGGGATGGCCTTGAATAAAAGAGGCATGACGGTCCTTCTCACGGCAGAGGAGGTTAGCTACATGGCGCTAATATGTTGCTGCTACCGCGATTTTTATACACGGTGTCTTTGACTCTTTCAGTTGAAGAACGCCTTTGACAACCTCTTCGAAGGCCTGCTGGAAAGTAAAGATGGTGAAAAGGAAGCAGCTGAGGTATGAGCACAGTTGTGTTGAAGGTATCATGTCATAGCCGATTACAGGGATGGGCAACTTTACTGTAGAGGGGGCCACGTAGGACCACGCACTTCCCAACGGATTTTTGACAAAAATTCCCTTTTAAATATGGACAAAATAGGTGCACATGTGCAAAATAGTTGCTCTTAATAGATATGATTTTTAATAATGTATTTTTCAGTGCATGCATAGAATAGATTCACTATCCTCAGCCAACAACAAACTGTTTAAAGCAAACAATTAAACTTTTAAATTAAAAATTTTTTCCCAGTGCAAAGGGGGGTCTCTTGCATAAAATCCCATTCAAGGACGGCACAAAACTGCTGAGAAGCAAACCCAACAGAAGTGCAACAACCCATTTTGTGCATTTTTTTTTTCTCACAAAAATCAACTCACTCAAAATCATCTTTTTGTTTTATTTATTTATTTATTTTCTTTTTGCAAATTAATCACGGGGCCACTCAGTGCCGTCCACGGGCGGTTTCATTCCCCTTGCCAATTGTAATGCTCACTGGTGTTTTTATAGACTATTAAAATAATAAGTAGGCTACATGAGGCTATGTTTACCCTTCTTCCATTCACCATTATAAAATTGTAAAACAGCTTTTATCGTTATTAGAAACACTTTTATGGTCAAAGCCACCTCGTATATTGAATGGCCCTCGTATATCACTTGTCTGTATTAAATACAAAAACATAGTGAAACGTCATTCCTTCAGATGAAGTCCTCGACTCTGTTCAATATCAGCCCGATGTGCCCGCCATATTGTTTCCACAGTCTGTGGCCACGCCGCTGCTGCCCCACCAGCGGCAAGCGCTGTCGTGGATGTGCGCCCGCGAGAACGAGTGTGTGCTGCCGCCCTTTTGGGAGAAGCGCGGCGAACTGTACTACAACACTCTGACGTGCTTCTCGGCCAAAGAAATACCCGAGAGGGTCCTCGGCGGGATACTGGCAGACGACATGGGACTGGTGAGTGGACGATATCTTGCTGATAATAGTCGAGTCGATGTCGATTAATTGATGATGTCATTAATATGTGAATGCTTAAAGGCACACATCAACACACAAATCCTCACACACTCACATCCGAAGCCGCGCCAGCAGGCCCTGCCTCTTAGAGACACATATATAACAGACACTGTATTTATTTATTTATTAAAAATAATAAAAATATGAAAACCTTTATTCGTCTCACAATGGAGAAATTCCCCTAAAGGCACACATCAACACACAAATCCTCACACACCGACATCCGAAGCCGCGCCAACAGGCCCTGCCTCTTACAGACACATGTAACAGACACTACGATACGCTCAGTACTTTCCATACATTTTGTGTTATGTATGTATGTATGTATTTATTAAAAATAATAAGAATATGAAAACCTTTATTTGTCTCACAATGGAGAAATTCCCATTTTACAGCAGCAAAGTTATGAAAGGAAGAAAGTAGAAGAACAAAAAGTATAGGAGCTGCTGTAAAGTCAGCCACTCTCGCGGCGCCATCTTGAAGTCACAATAACATAATAACAAATATGCTTATGATTAAAGCATGTGGCAGGGGTAGAACTATGTAATCGATGTTTTTATATTGTGGCTTTTCACCGATTGTGAGTGGGTCCGTAACAACCCTTCCGATCCACTCCCATTTCTTTACCAGGGTAAAACGCTGACGACCATCGCACTCATCCTCACCAACTTCCATGACGGAAAGCCACTGCCCGTGTACAACCGCGTAAGTGGCACGCTAAGCATTCAAGCTCCGGATGAGCAGAGCAGTGCGCCGTTTCTAATGTTGTGTTTGCTGCGCGTTTACAGCAGGAGCAATCTTCACCTCGAAAAAGTATGACTCGCACACTTCAAACCAATCTCCCAAGTTTTTGCCGAAGACAACCTAACCTAACCGTGTTTTCACTTTGTAGCTGATGGAGCCGGACCGAGTGGCGCGGTGGCTCACGGTCTACGCTCCGGCCTGTATGTGTCACACTATTCCCACATCGTTGTCAGAGCTCATATTGGATTTCTTAGTGCAGGTGTATACTGTTCCTGATGAAGCTGAAGTGAAGTGCGAAAATACTGTTTTTTGCGGGATGGTTTAAAAAAAAAAAAGGAACAACATTGAAATACAGTAACACAGCTGGCCTCGTTGTTCATCGAAAAGCCAATGGGACCTTTTGCAAAGTTTGAGCAATAACACTGTGGTTAAATTGAGTAAACTTAAACAGAAACTGTTCTTCAATAATGATCAAATCAAAATAGACATCTAGACATAAAAAGGTAAATAAAAAAAATGCCTCAATGTTTTTATTAAGACTTCTCAACAAGTGATTGCAAATGCATTAAACTTAAAAGTAAAATATAACTGAACTGCTTAGGCAGTGATGTTTTTTTTGAGGGGTGGGGGCATCCAGATACAGAAGACAAAAGCACAGTCTACAACCAAACGTGGTGACTGTGACAGGAAAAGCTCGGGATGATATGATTATGAGATGGTGGAGAGTCAGTAGGGCTCGAAACATACGGGCAGGTTGCAATTTGTTTTACAATGTGGTCGATGGGAAGAGAAATGCGGTCAGGGTTATCTTAAAGGAAGACTGAGCGTTGAAGCTGAAATTTGAAATTGAGGGTGTTATGTTGAAAGGGTGGGCACCCTTCATCCATTGTTGTCACTAATCGAACACTCATCTTCTTGTGCCAGGGTCAACATGGAGCAATCTTGTTTTACCTCACCAAATGTCAAGGACGCAGCAAAGCTGTCAGAGAAAGGTGGGACCTTGAATCTTAACCAACTTTTGTCGCGGCTACCGCATAGATTTCAACACTTTGCTCCACCGTTTCAGGCAGAAGAACGACAAAACCCACCAAGCGGAAATATGGTAAGTGCGCATCGTGAATAGTCACATCTGACGTTTTGAAGTATTTCGTGTTAACGCGATGTCGTGTAGAGGCGTCGCTGTTGCTGGAGGATGGCGACTTTGCCTCTGCGCTGTGCGAAGGGCTGCCGTCGTCGACTAATTCCTTCAAGAAGAAAAAGAAGAAGAAGAAGGCCAGCTCCATGCTGGGTGAGATACTAAGGATCGAAAATGCTTAAATCTAGTGGTGTAAAAAAAGAAAAAAGGAAGCTTTGCAGTTGGAAATTTGATTTAAAAGATGAAGATGCATCGAATCACATCGTTCCAATTTAAAATATATCAAAATAAATATGAACTCGTCTTTTAATGGAGAGATATATCTTCTACCGACACAGTAGTAACCACTTGAGGGTTTTTTTTCTCCGCCCCCCCAAATATGATGTCACAAGCCTGGCACACCGATCTTTGGGCAGTTTCGTGGCTGCGTGCTGCTTAGGATCGTTGCCCTGTCGGAAGAGAACCCTTCGCCCGAGTCTGAGCTCCTGCTCTTTGGAAACAGACATAGTTGACCAGCTAATGACTTTTATAATATCAAACGTATTATATGTGTTCCTTTTATTTTGAAAGTTGTGCTTATATTTAGTGACTTTTCCGACCCCTCCAGCAGTTATTTTTCCAAGAAAACAGAAAGTGACAATGGTGGCCCTCATGTTAACATTTTTAATTTCCTCCATGGTGGACGGAAGAGCGCAAAGAGGATTTGAATCTGAATTTTGTTGGTAAAATAAAAAAGATTGTTGCAAATATATTAGTGGTCTTAATTTGAGCCTGGCGTGTTTTGTCTTTGAACAGCTCAAGATTACCACGCCGCAGAGAACCCTAGCGAAGCTGTATCAGCAGGGGCGACTCTCATCGTATGCCCGCTGTCAGTGCTCAGCAATTGGCTGGTAGGCACGGCCGTCACCGCTCTTACCGTCTAAACTCGCAGCCATGACAGCAGGATTAATGGAAAGGCATGCATACGCGTGCGTGCGTGTGTGTGTGTCCGCAGGACCAGTTTGAGGAGCACTTGCGAGCCGACGTCAAGCTGAGAGTGTACATGTACCACGGCCCCGACCGCAACAGGAGCACCAAGTTCCTTTCCTCTCAGGATGTGGTGCTCACCACCTACAACGTGCTCGCTGCCGACTTCACGGTAAGGATTTTTTTTATCCACCTGCCACGTTTTGTTTTTTTTCCCTGGCTCGCTCTTCTGTATGGACGGCTGCTGCCGACTTCACGGTAAGGATTTTTTTTTTATCCACCTGCCACCTTTTTTTTTTTTCCCTGGCTCGCTCTTCTGTATGGACGGCATTGAGGGTGGAATGGAGGAGCTAAGTTTATTCGCCTGGGATTTCAATTGAAGTTATGGAGAGTCTTTGTTCTTTCTAACATTTGGTGCTATTTCCATTTGAGTCAGGATTTTTTTTTCAAATCAAGCTTCAGTGCAATATTCATGATGTAGAGCATGTCTGATGGGAGCACCTTTGTGTTCAGAGTAAGAACAGGAGTCTGCATGATGTCAGCAGTCCCCTGCATGACATCAACTGGTTGCGGGTGGTGCTGGACGAGGGCCACGTGGTCCGGAACCCCAACACACAGATGAGCAAGGCCGTTCTGGACCTCAAAGCAAAGCGACGCTGGATTCTGTCCGGTACACAAACACACACGCACACCTAACAGAACTGCAGGCAGAATCATGGTAAATGTAGTCCTACGACTCGCTGAATGCTGCGACCATCCGAACGGTTCCGGCCGCGTATTTCCAATGTCGCGATGTGGGATTATATTATTGCGGTCTATGTGACTAAAATTACATTCATTCCCATTTAGTGTCACAATCACATGTGGGGTTCTCAGTCTCATCTGCATGTAATATGTAGTATTTTGTCAGACCAAAACCCGAACTGCCTCCTGCTTCCGTGTCTAAGAATCATGGGAAATGTAGTCCTATGAGCCGAAATCGGCACTCGCCAACGCAAGATGAGCTTTTCTGGCGGCATGTTTCGATTGTTAAAATGTGGGACCAGACCTGGCGGGAGGTAATCCACACAGCCGGCTTTTCCAGTAGCTGCCAGAACCGAGCAAAAAATAGTTTAGATAGTGGTGAGTGCACTGACTTTGTCTCCAGCTGTTGAACTGTCAACCAAGATAGCATTTAGCACGGTGCAATTAGAATAGACTATTTAACATACAATGCTTTGCAAAAATAATGCTCCCTCCAAACCAGTGCAACTTTTTTTTTTTTTTTTTTTTTTTTTTTTTTAACAGACCCATTTATTGAGTTTGGGCCAAACAGTTCGGTGTGCCCAAATCAATGGTCCGTAAAATACAGCAATTCAAAGTTAAATAAAATTGACTGGATTATAAAAACAGTGTAAGACACTCTTAACATGGACATTTTTTTTTTTTGCTGACCACTTGAGGGAGCCCTCATTTTGAGATCACTGGCTCATCGAAGAATTTGGAGCATTCTGAACTCAAATGCTTTGAATGGGATAAAAGATTCTCAGAATGTTCAGAACTCCTGCGATGCAGTTCCTTAAAACATTTGAATGGGGATAAAAGAATCTGAATGTTCTGAACATCTGTTCCAATGCCTGCAAATCTGTCTTTTTTCAGCTGTTCTTTGCCGAGTATTCTTTGACTTGATAGACAGACCGCTGCAATCTGGAATATTCCACCGTGGCGGAGGTCTGCGCTCGACTGAGTGCCATTGTCAGCCGTCACGGCGGCGCACGTGCGTTAACTGACGTCTCCTGTCCGCTGTCCACATCCAGGGACGCCCATTCAGAACAGCGTGAAAGACCTTTGGATGCTGCTGGCCTTCCTGCGCCTCAAGCCGTTCGACGTGAGGGAATGGTGGAATCGAGTCATCCAGAGGCCCGTGACGCAAGGAGACAGGGCCGGCCTGCAGTAAGCCCACTTTTATTTCTCAGCTGTGTTCACCGCAGAAGCCTTATTCTCACTATCATCAGTGTTTTTGTTTTTTAAGGGGAAATCATCTCTGAGTTTTGGTAGAATTTTTTTTTTTTTTTTTTTTTTTTAAGCCTTCCATTTTCTGAAAAAGCTCACAGCGTGCCTTAAAATCCGATGCGCCTTGTGTATGGTCATTACGGTAATATTTCGACCCCCAAAATGGCTCCTTGCTCGAGACATGCTGACAACTGCAGAGTTCAAACTTAAGGCGATCGGTGATGCAGTTGAACACGGAAATAGAGCAGCGAGCGGCAAGAGAGTTCAACGTTAACGAGTCAATGTTATAACTTGCTGTTGGTTAAGTGAACTGTCGCTGCTTTATTAAAAAAGTTTTACTGACATCTGATCGTTCTGTTGGTGTTTCCTTGAGCGTAGCGCCATATTGTGGATGTATTGTAGATGTCTGATAATGCGGTGAGCTTTGAGCGTAGCGCCATCTGGTGGATGTATTGTAGATGTCTGATAATGCGGTGAGCCCAATGTATGAAAAAAATTACAAAATAGGCCATTTATTGAAGTTGCGCCTCATAATCCAGTGCACTTTTTAGTGTAGAAAATACGGTATTATTTTTTTTAAGGATTATGTACTGTAGTCATTAATTAATAATTAAATTGATGATGAAAATGCAATATAAAATATATTTTAAATACAGAAAATATAATGGTAATAAACTACCATATATATATATATGAATGATAAACTAACACAAAATAATAAAATATCAAATTAAATGAAATCTGAATTTGTTTGTCAGGAACCTGCAGACACTGGTGAAGTGCATCACGTTGCGGCGCACCAAGACCAGCGAGGTGAACGGCCGCCCGCTGGTCACGCTGCCCGAGAAGAGCGTGTGCGTGGAACAGGTGGAGCTCAGCGCCTCAGAGCGCGAGGAGTACGAGCTGGCACACAATGAAGGAAGGCACACCATCGGCAGGTATATTGATTATTAAAAAAAAAAAAAAAACATCATCATCAAAGACAAACACTTAGCTTTTTTTTCCCTCCTCTGTTGGGGAAGTCGTTGAATAGAGCGACTTTTTCTTTCTTCACAGTCGTGTTGTTAGTATTAGCAGTGTGTGTCAGCGTGCATGTATTTTAAACTTTGGACGCTGCAAAAAATGTTTATTTATACAAAACAAAACTTGTCCCGACAACTAAACTCCACTTCCTCAATAAAATCACTGCGTCACTCAGCCCTTTCTTGATGGTATTTTGTGTGTGTGGTTTTTTTTTTTTTTTTTTTTTATAGAGCGACTTTTTCTTTCTTCACAGTCGTGTTGTTAGTATTAGCAGTGTGTGTCAGCGTGCATGTGTTTTAAACTTTGGACGCTGCAAAAAATGTTTAATTATACAAAACAAAACTTGTCCCAACAACTAAACTCCACTTTCTCAATAAAATCACTGAGTCACTCAGCCACTTCTTGATGGTATTTTGTGTTTTTTTTTTTTTTTTTTTTTTGACTAGATATGTTGCTGAAGGGACAGTTTTGAGGAATTATGCGGATGTGCTGGCCATCCTGATGAGGCTGCGACAGCACTGCTGCCACCCTGACCTGCTGTCTAAGACCGCCTCCGATGCAGGTACGCAGCACCTCCTGCAACTGTCAGCTGGCACGGGCAAAAAAAAGATTAAAATTCTTCTTTGCGAGTATGAAATCGCAGTGTTATAAGAAGCGAAATTATTTTTAGTAGACAAATTTGCGATCTTGCGAGAAAGAAGTTGTCAACTTGTATTTTTCAAGACAATGTGCGATCTTAGAAGGAAAAATTCTGAAAAGTAAAACCCAAATTTACTTAGAGTCTTAGATTTATAAGAATTGAATTGTATTTTTTTCTCTTGAAATGATTGCAATTACAGAAACGTTGCGATTTTTGGAAAACACACCTTTAAAAGAATTAAGTCGTATTTTTTAAAATTTGAAATAGCCACTTTTTTCCTTGAAAATGAAGTTGTCGATTTCTTTTGCCGTTTTAAGAAGATTGCTAGAATGCAAGGCAACAACAACAAAGTAAAACCAACCGTGGCCTCAGTTGTAACGCTTTCCCCGTTATGGCCCCTTGCAGGCTTGGCGGCCACGCCGGCCGAGCTTCGCGAGCACCTGATCGAGAAGCTGCGCGTGGTGCTGGCAAGCGGTTCGGACGAGGAGTGTTCCGTGTGCCTGGACTCGGTGCGCCTGCCCGTCATTACGCACTGCGCCCACGTTTACTGCCGCCCATGCATCGCACAGGTCATCGGCACAGAGCAGGTATGCCAGAGGTCTCGCCTACTTGCACTTAATAAAAAGACTCGCGACTTACTTGTGACCTGTGCGCATACAGGAGAGCGCCCGCTGCCCTCTTTGTCGGAGTGACATCAAGATCAACGAGCTGGTGGAGTTCCCGCAGGAGGAGATGGCGGAAGGAAATGGAGGAAGAAGTCCTGGCAAGTGGAGGACCAGCTCAAAGGTAATGCGCCGCTCCAGACGCAACGTGCGGTTTAGGACAGCCCTCACTGCCCAAGGCACGCAAGAGAGAAATTCACGTTCGACACTGTGTGACAGTAAGCATGCCCGTTTGGTTGCTAATGGTGTCGCTACGTGTGTGCGTGCGCAGATCCAAGCGCTGATTGGCAACCTGCTACGTCTGCGACGTGAAGACAGCACCATCAAATCTTTGGTGGTCTCACAATTCACTCGCTTCCTCACCATCCTGGAGACGCCGCTCAGGTACCACTTGCTCTCACACACACACACACGCACACGCGCGCGCATGCACGCGGGTCCGCCTGTCAATCATGTCCGAAAGGCCGTCCATCATGATGTGACGTTGTGCGGGTTAGGGAGCACGGCTTCAGGTTTGTGCGATTGGACGGCACCATGAGTCAAAAGAAGCGCGCCCAGGTGATCCAAGACTTCCAGAGCGTGACCCCAAGCAGCCCCGCTATCATGTTGCTGTCGCTCAAAGCCGGTGGGGTGGGACTCAACTTCACCGCTGCCTCCCATGTCTTCCTCATGGACCCTGTGAGTAGAACGTGTGTGTGTGTGGGGGGGGGGGGCAGATTTGGATAACAGTCCTGTTTTATTATTTTAAGGGAAAGTGTGCTATTTTTATGAAAATAAACTTACTTTTCCTAGTCATATTTTTAGGAATCTAAACTTATATTTTTGTCAGGAGAAAATAAAATCCAAAAAGTAAGATGGGGAAGCAAAGCATTTTTTTTCGTGTCATTTGCTGTCTCTTTAAACAAACGGGAGGAAAAATTTGATTGAAATCAGATGAAATGTGAAGGCTAAATCCTGCCCAGCTCTTACTTGGTGTCTCTTTAGGCATGGAACCCAGCCACAGAGGAGCAATGCATCGACCGTTGCCACCGTCTGGGTCAGAAGAGAAAAGTATTTGTAACTAAGGTGGGAAAATTGGAGAAAAGCTGTATTTTCGAATCCTAAATAAAATATAGACCGAAAGATATATATATATGTATCTATGCTGCAGTTCATCGTGAAAGACTCTGTGGAGGAGAACATGGTGAAGATCCAGAGGCAGAAGCAGGAGCTGGTGGAGGTGGCGTTCGGCTCCGTGGACAACGACCGCAAGACGTCGCGCATTAACGACATCAAGGCGCTTATGAAGTTGTAGAAAGTGGACAAGTGTGCACCCCTCTTTCTCTCTTTTCTCGTTTCCGACGTTGGCCATTCCAAACTGAAGTCCAATCGTTGCCATTTTAGAATCAAGGACCCAGTCACACATATTCAATTCAGAGGAGCGGGGAATCCAATTGTCAAAAACAAAAAGGAAGCCATAAATGCTCCAAATATCATGTTCATAAAGCTTTCTTTGGCTGTATTTGAATAAAAAAATTCCTGGGCAGCACGTCTGCCTCAGTTTTGGGATTCTGGCTTCCAATCTCAGGTACACTTGCTTATGCATCCCTGAGCTGTGAGATTACAAGTGTGTGTGTGAGAGACATTGTCCAAAGTGAAGAGTTGTGTGTCTACATATGCCCTGTAATTGACCTGCAGCCAGTCCAAGGTGTACCCCACCTCAAAGTCAGCCGGGATGAACTCCAGCTCACCCGAAAAATGTTACCCTCCCTTAATTTTTTGAGGCAAAGACCTCCACCATGGATAAAAAGGTATGTACACTACTAAACGTGACAAATTGTTGATATAGTCCACCCCAAATTATGTTAGAAAACCTTGGCGGAGCCAATTAAAAAAGTTTATAAAAGACTTGAGATTGATTTTAAAACGTTTACAATACCTTAAAAGCTATGGAATTTTTTTTTTTTAAACTTGAACATAAAAGCATTTTACTTAGGTCGGCAGCTCCCATTTACATGCAGCATTACAGTTAAAGGCCGCCTCACCATGTTTGTACTCTGTGCTCCACGAATAGACCCGAGCCTGGAGGAGGATTTTTTTTTTTGTTCCATCTTTATTCAGAAAAAAAAATTACACAAGTCATTTTCAAGTTGCTCGTCTTTTAATCGCCACAAGGGAATTGTGCAATGACAATGTTTCACTTGTACATGTTTTTTTTTTTAGGTTGTAGCGCACCTCCACTGGAGCGAGATGGGCAATTTCCCGCAATGGAGTGAGGTGAAACACTGAACACGATAATAAGGCAGTCAGAAAGGCAGGGAAGTGTGACACAAGGACCACAAATGGCAGAGAACTTGTATGCAAGATGCTGGGAGGTAGGTGGCGCTGTACTGTAGTGTTTCAACATTAGAAATCAAGAGGACAAAAAGACAAATTGCCCCCCCTCCCCCCAAAAAAAATACACGCCCATTAATCAGTCACAAGTTTTGACCAAAGGGATACCAAACAACTAGAACCGGTTGCCAGCCAATGGCAGGACACAAAGACAACCATACTCTCATATGGACAATTTTCCAATTGTAGGGCACATCGACAAACTAGCATTCAAACTCACATTTACGCTTACGGATACTTTAAGGTCTTTAAAAAAAATAAAAAAAACCACAAGAGTTGCTGCAAAACATCCAAACACAAACATGGGGGAAACATACAAACTCCTCGTTGGGAATGCCTGAAATTGAAAACGCAGAAACCCAGGACTGAGGCAGACATAAGCATGCTCGCACCCGTGCTGCCCTCTCGTCCTGAAATTTTTTTCCGCACTTGAACAGTTGCTGGGCAACCCGAACAAAAAAAATGTAGTCCTGCTCCAGAGGCCAAGAACAAGCTCGCTACATGACCCTGTTCCTCCCTCCCCCAATCCCACTGTATAAAAGACCAATTCATTCTTTGAAACCAGGTTGTTTGTGCGCACCACTATCGTGTGGGGCTCAGATTTTGTTTTCCTTAACTGTCCTAGCCCAAGTACAGTGATGCCTTGATATACAAGTTGATTTCAAATTTTATTTCTTAAAAATAGGGTGGAAAAAAGTGTGTGTGTGTGTGTGTGTGTGTGTGTGTGTGTGTGTGTGTGTGTGTGTGTGAGAAAGGGGGGGGTATTAATGAAGCACCGTGAATACATCATACTGCATCCATAAAGTATATCCAACACTTGACCCTTTCCACAACCTTACTCCAAAAGTAAATTCTTCATTCAAAAATGTTTTTAAAATGAAAAAAAAAAGTTGTGAAAAAATTCAAAAATTGATGACATTTGTACTCTTATTTTACCCACAACACCCCATTATGACAATTGGAAGGAAAAAAACGTTTGAGAATTTATTAAAAATAAACTAAATGTGGGGGAGAGTGAGCATATGCTTCTCCAATTTTTTTTTTTACGGCCAATTAATTTTTGCCCTCAAAATTCGACACAATTTCCCATCACATGGAAATTTTTAGTTTTGCTAATGATGCACTGTCAAACGTGGGAGCTTATCTAGACAGGTGTTTCTTTCCAAATCATGTCTAATCAACTTGATTTACCACACGTGGAATCCATTGAAACTGTACAGAGGATGACCACCTTGAGCTCAAACTCCAGATTTCATATCAAAAACTAAATACGAACGCGGAATTAAGAGTCTTGGGGTTTTAATCAATGCACAAAAATGAAAGTTTTTCAGATCTTTTTAAGGAAGTCAATTTCATCCATTTTGGGAAAAGGCTGTAACAAAATGTGGAAAAAGTGAACTACTGTGAATATTTTATAGATCTACTGCATCTGTCAAATACTGTATCCACATTTTGACAGCATAAGATTATCCACACAAGCAGTAATTCGACCTTCAATTTTTTTTTTCTCTCTCCACTTGCCCAACTGCATTGTTGTCGCGTTTTCTCCTATGATAGACAAGTATCACATATATTGACAAAATACTTTATTTCATGCCCTGTCCATGTGCTCTTTGAGTGGAGGACAATTTGTTATTTCGTACGACCTTCGAGCTATCCAATGCACAAGTGTTAGAGTGTTTTAAGTTTGCCCAACTGTACTATATAGATGGTACACAGTATCCACCATTTTATACATAGCATAGAAGGGGGAAAGAAAAAAAAATGTCATGACCAATATCTCTCCTCCCCCTGATATTCAGTGTTGATGCTAAGTAGCTAATGCTAAATTCATCAAGTGCTAATGGTGTTCTTCAGTGACAGATTTAGTCCAAAAATCACAGCGGCCTTATAGTTGGAAAGACAGTGTGACATTCAGGCAAGCTAGTCTGCCATTTTTGGGTTAACTCAAACATGATCTTGTTCCACTGCCATTTCCCCCACACCCTTTTCTCCAGTGTTGATGCCAAGTCGCTAATGCTAATTTCAATAAAGGGGTGAACAGTGTTCGGCTACATGATCCCTCCCTGATCAGTTTTCTTTTAAAATAAAATGGACAAACGCCGTATCGTGCAAACACAAGATTGTTGATACCATGTTGCTATTGCTAATAAGTGATTCTGCCATTTCTGGCCTCCCATGTTGACACTATGCTAATTTATCGAGGGTTAATCGTGCTCTTCAGTTACCGAGTGAGATGTTTTGTCCGGAATAAATCACACAATTGCCGTATTGTTGGCATGATAGCGAAATTATCGGGTTACTCTCTCGCTATGTCCCACGCGGGGTATGAATTGCAAATGCTAATTTAACAGTGTTAATCAGCTATAATAAAGCTCGCCGGGGATGAAGTTACATCTCACAATGCATTTCTCCTTTTTAAGAAATGCCCTCTCTCACTCACACAAACTGCAAAGGTGCATTTAGTGAGGCTGGAAGACACTAATAATTCTAATTGAACCTTCTGTGATTGGCTCGGAGGACGTGGGGCAGGGGTGGTTGGGGGTTCAATTCCTTACAGGCCCTTCTGTTGTCCTCTGTCCGTCGCAGCCTTACTCGCTACTTGAGGAAGGAGTCCAGCTTGCGTTCAATGTTGGCAAAGGAGTCGTCGCCCAAGTAGTCCATCTGGCCCGCCTCCCAGCGCTCCTTCCGCTCCTCGGAGGAGATGGGCCGCGGGGAAGTCACATCAGCCGCCGCCGCGGCAGATGTGGTAGAGGAAGACGACGCAGTGCTACTGACGTACTCGTCCTGCCGGAGCTTATCCTGCATTATCAGGTGGGAGCGCAAAAAAAAAAAAAAATTATTATTTTTTTTTATATCGTTCCCCAGTTCCCCCCCCAACACACACTAAAATAATCTGCGCTGGTTCTTAGTCTATCACATTTAAAAAAAAAAAAAAAAGGATGGGATGACTGAGCAAAAACAATGATGCTTGCAAAGTTTGCTCAGAGGCACTGTGTGCTTGCTTGCTTCAAAACCGTGCTTTTGTTTTGCATTGTGGATCCATTTTTCACATTACGTGTTTCAAGCAAATAGGAGAGGTAATTTGCCCCCCACGACTCTAAGTGGAAGCATTTCATCAACACAGTCAAAGTACAACTCTGCATCTTGCAACAGATAAGAGATGGTGATGTAACCGGGTTTGATGGTAAAATGATGAAAGACTTAAAAAAAAAAAAAAAAAAAAAAGGACATGGCAATGCCCAACCATACACATTTTGCCAGGCTTCACTGGTTACACATTTGTGGCTAAGCAGAATTCGCAGGGCTCAATCGCATTTGCCCACTGGGCCAATTTTCACTTGGCAACATGAAATTTGGAAGTTAAGTCTATCCCAGGGACATCCACCAAAAATTCAAGTCCCCGTTTCTGAAAAATCCATAAAACCATTTTGGCTTTAAGTGAATAATTTAGGCTCACTTCGACATGACTGTTTTTTTTTTTTTTTTTTTTTTTTTTTAATAAACTCGGCCCCCAAAGCCTGTTTCACTTTGCAACGTGAAATCTGGTAAACTCATCTATCATGAGTAGACCCACCTAAAATCTAAAGGACTCATGTCTGAAAGACAGCCATCTTGGCATGAAGCAGCTATTTACAAAAAACTCAAAGCCATGCCCAAAAAAGAAAGTTAGCAATTTTGGATTGAAGCTGCCATTTCGGGTTTACTTTGGCCAATGAGGAAACCACTTCTCCAGATTACTTTTGCTCCAATTGCTAATTTCACACACATATTCTATACAGCTCCGAGATAGACCAAACATCATCTTGCTCAATAACTCACGTCACTGGCCTCTTCCTTGACCCCAGTGGTGAATGGCGCATCGCCGTAGGCCCGCTGCAGCAGCGGCATCACTGACGTGGTGTACAGCCGCCACCAGGACTGCAGATAGTCCGGGTGAAGCCGGCCAGAGTCAGGCCCATCCGAGCGGCCCGTCACCTCACCGCTCTGGGCGTCGTAGGTGTAGCACCACGGTTTGGTCTTGCCCAGGAAGTGGACCACCTTGGCGTCGTGGCCAAAACTGTGTGGACAGAAGACATTTATGTTAAAAATTGAAAGAAAAAAAATTTAAAAAGGGAGGTGGCAGCAGCAACAACAAGGGGCAGGTTACATTCCTCTTTTTTTGTAATTGGACCCTCAAACACATAAAAAGACCACCTTTGAACTGACCTTAGATATGCCTCCGAATACACAAACACACTTAATGGTTCACTACGCAATCACAGTTGGTTGTGTGTGCGCGCGTACTGTTTGAAAGCGGGCAGATAAGAGTAGATGGCAATGCTGCTGAGGTTGTAGACAAAAGGGAGGTGCTTGGCTATGTCGGCTGTTGCCCACGTGTTGAAGAAACTGTTGAGGACGCCCTGATCGCCACCTGTGGACACACAACGGATGGCATCAGCTTGACTTGGCTACTAATGCTATTTGTTTTTATGCTCAACTGCAACAAAATTAAAAATAAATAACATTTGTATTCCATATAAACATCACCGTCAAAACTTCCATTTTCAGCGCAGAACGCCACCAGCTTCTCGTGCGTCTCGATAGATGGCCGGAAAACAAAGACCCCTGAGTTGAAGCAGTCTGGCCAACCGGGGTCTGGCGCGGCCGAGAATTCCTCCCGTTCAAAGAGCTCGTCGATGTTGGAGAGTGCCTAACATTTTGTGGTGGGAGACACGATTGTGTTATAAATAAATAAAATAATATTGACATTCACCCCCCCCCCCAAAAAAAAAAAAACATTCCGATACTCACCATGGTGTCAGCGTCCATGAAAACACACTTGTCGTAGTGCGTCAGCGTCCAACAGTGCAGTTTGGTGAAGGTCACGCCCAAGTCGGGCCGCTGCATCAGGGCGAGGTGGGCTGTGTCGCCCGAGTCTGTGATGTTCACCAGGCGCACTTCATCAAAGATGGAGCGCAGCACCTCCCTGAAAAAAGAAAACCGTATGTGGACAGAGTAATAGCGATGAATCCACATTAAACCCTCGTACCCATCTGTGGATCTCCTAAATGTAATTTTGGCACTGCCAGTTACATTAGCAAAACTGTAGAAGTGTGTCACCGCTTCGCAACCTAGCAATCGCAGTTTACTGTGGGGATACAGTCCAGACCCATCTGCTACAGATGAAAAGCCTCAGTGTAGAGACCATATGATAACACAACAATTGCTGTACTTCACCACATCTTAAACACGTAAATATATTTTAACACAAAACAATTGAGAGCACAATTTTTATATCAAAATACTGGATGAATTGTAGCGTCTGTGTATTAGGTACTGCACGTGCCTTTAAAAAGGCAGGCTCTGGTGGGGTGGCGTGTCCACACACACAAAATGTTTTTTTAATCATATATTCTTTGTCCTCTGCGTAGAAAGACTAATATCAGTGCCGTACCGACGAGATGAGACATTATTCACACTATATGCCTTGAATCTTAGTCTTGAATCCTTGAGAGTGACAAGGCTTTACTGTAGTCACCTGCACGGTTCTGCTACGTGAGGTCCGATGAGGGCGACAAGCTTCCTGGTGGTGTGGTGGTCTCGTAACGAGCGGCCCAGGACCATGGCCCCTTTGGCATAGCTGTCGTTGGTGGCCAGCGTCACAAAGGCTTCGCCTGATTACAACACCAAAGCGTTCACATTCAATCACGAGCACCTCTTTTAATTTCTACATTTCATTTCGCACACGAGTCAAATGAGTCGCCACAAAACGCTACCGTCAACTGTTTATTTAGACAAGCAATGATCAATAAGTCCTTTCTGCAAAAGGAATTTGGGGATCTTAAAAATTTCTCACAGGACACCACAGTTAGATATGACTGGAGGTTGCGGCCACTTCTTTGACACAGTTTTTGTTCAACTGTTTGTCATCGCCTGACAAGAATTGGGGGGCCTCCAGCCACAATCTAGTAAGTATGTATTTATTTTTGTAATCTTTATTGCTTGTGCTAATGTCTATATCAGTTGTGCCATAAGGGTCTTTGAGTGTTCAAGGGGTGGGAAATGAACTTCACAACCTTACCGTGAGACTGCACGTCCGCCACATCAAGTTCGACACAATCACAGGAAGTAGTGGGAAGCCATTTAAAAAAATATATTGTAGTTTTTTTTTTTTTTTTTAAATAAACGTGTTACATTTGAGCAGCGTTCATATTAGGGCAGTCCCCCTCCCCCCTTTTAAAAGAAGCAATGAGTAAATTTTTGGTTACCTTCAAAGGACGCAACTAAATAGAGAAACGTGAGGTGGTGGTGATGCAACCAGAGCCATTTCCACTTGTGACATTTAACGGTTTCAGTTAAGAAACAATTCGGACAAAAGATTGAGTCTCAATCTGACCCTGCATTTAATATGTGATAAAAATATATATACCTCTTCATTAGATCCTGGATGTGTTTTAAAATAGACATTACGGCAATATTCGTTTTTTTCCTCATTGTTTGTATAAGCAAATACGTACCAGTCTACTTATCAAGTGTGAAAATAAACAGTACAGTATATGGTGAAGCAGAAGGGCTGCCACATCCCTACAACGAACCAATTTCATGAACGCCAGAAATATGACTAAAAATAAATAAATAAATAAATTCTTGACCTTAAGGACATTTTGACATAGATGTGGCAATAAGGGAACTCTGAGCAATCGACGTAAATCTAGTTTAGGATCAGTTTAACCTCTAAAGAAATAAAACAAACCAATACAAAAGCGCGCACGGACACACAAATATATTAAACCAAGACTTTGAAAATCCTCACCGGAAGTGTAATCCCGAGCGGAACGCTACCTTGACTCTCTGAACTGCTGCCGCAACTCGTAAAAAAAAAAAAATAAAATACAAAAACGCAGCCTTGCGAATACTATACTACACGTATTAGTTTGATATTCATGTTAAACGACACTACTCCCACAAATTCTACAACTACTATCCCTACTGCTACTACTACAACAAAAAAAAAAACAGTTACTCGTGTCGATTTTTAAAACAAATATTAGCGACGTTTAAAATGGCACGACAGAACAGCAGCAGCACTGCAGAGGAATCAGGCGGCCAAGCGTGGAGTCGCAGTCTTACCGGACATCGTGAGGCTCAGCCGGGGTGTCTCGACGGGGAAGCACGGAGAGTTAAGCCCCGCGATGGCGTTGCAGAAGGTGACCAAGAGGGTGGTGGGTGCTAGTGGCAACTTGGATCTCGAGCAGCTGCGCTCAATTCCAGCCCAGGAATTAAAGAGCACGTTTTCCGGGTCACCTGACAGCTGACATACGATGACCACGCCCCCTCCGTGTCGGATGTTGTATTTGCGCCTATAATTAATAAAATGGCGCCGACAGGTGTTATGAAAGTCTTAAAAACCGTCGAAGGGATGTGTCTTATAATTCAACACAGGGTGGGCCAAAAGTAGATGTGTATTTTAATTAAAATGTTGCCATGTAATTACATTGAGAGGTTTTTTTTTCCAGGCATCTTTTTTCTTAATTTCTTCATTCTGTCCGTCCTTCTTTGCTTCCTATCTTCTTCCCCTTACATCCGCCTTATTCCGAGCATCTGTTAATTCCTGACTGTCTTCCCTTCGTGTTTTCTTCGCTCCCGCTTTCCTTCCTTCCTTCCTTCCTTCTTTCCTTCAGAACCTTCCTTCCTAACCCCTTTGCAATATTCTCACTGTTTGAAGTGAGAGTCGGAAGGTGTTTAACTCTTCCATCACTGCCTCTTGGTGGTCAAGACTGCACACTACAGAAATCATTTCTGTTCACCAATTGAGTGCATGAAATATATTTAAGACATTTCTTCTCACAATTGCAATCGCTTGCTGTTATATTAATAACGTTTTTGCAACGTGCTTTTGTCCAAATACCACAAGGATTTAAAAAAAAAAGTTCATTTTTAAAACTTGTCCTAGAACACACGTTTGTTTGATGACATTTGACTCAGCATGAGACGCGGCATTGTTTTGGTGTTTAATGGTGTCTGCCGAATTTGTATTTGCTGATACAATTCTTCAACATGTGCTTTGTGCCCCAGGCTAACCTTGAATAATGCAGCAGGATTCTTGTACCGGGCCGGCATCTTCTTAGGCCTGCTTTTCTACCTCCACACCGCTGTTCTGGGACCAGCTGTTGTTGGCAGGCCAGAGTAACCAGAGAGCACCTCGAACAAAAAGAGCTGATCATGTGTCCACCGGAGGCTGGATAGAAAACATGGAAGGCTTGGTGTGTTGGGAGAGAAAATGCAGGTATGGAAACAGATCTTTGTAGATATAAACGAATGTGTGATGTAGCTTGATTTTATTTTTTATTTTTTTTAAACACAAGGACAGAGGTGCTTTGTAACGCTAAACCTTGCAGCCATTTTGAATGTAAGCTCCTTATTTCAATTTTTATCCCTAATGGAACGTCATTGATCCAAGCAGGTGGGGGCTGATGTCATTAATATAGAAGGAAGCTTTCGGTTTGCGTGTGCGTCAAAGCGATGACATTGATGATATTTCCTTTGTTTTCCAACCTAGAAACACTGACTTCAATGGCTGAATTTTCCCATCCCTTTAGTAAGTAAGCCCCCCGCTGGAAACATCATAAATTAGCCTAAAATGGCTGCTTTGAGCCAAGATGGCAGACTTGCAGTGTCTTTTTGGCCATGGCTTCGTCTTCCTGAGACATTTAAGGCAATAAGTGTTAAATGTTAACCGTGTCGACTACGCCCATCCCAGGGTCCAAACAAGCCAAAGGTCCTCTCCTCCAGAGTGATAAGCTGCTGTCCGTCTTCCTGCGTCATCTGCGGAGGACAAGACGCCGCCGATCGGGTCCGCTCTGGTGGTGGTCTGGGAGGCCTTTTGATTTCCAGCTGAATTATCAAGGTAACCACTTGACTTTGTTTTTTGATTTGTGTGTGTGTGTGTGTGTGTGTGTGTGTGTGTGTGTGTGTGTGTGTGTGTGTGTGTGTGTGTGTGTGGTGGGGGGGTGGTCTCATACGTTATAGAGAAGTACAGGGGTCGGCAACATCTGGTCCGCAAGCCACATCCTTCCTGTCTTTAATTGGGCCCACCTAGCATTACAATGCCTGTAACGTGTTTAAAAGTAAACCCTTTTTCCCCTCAATTGTTTCATTAAAATTCTTCTTTTATTTTTCATGTATTTATTCATTTTTCTCATTGAATAACTTTTTAATTCATTTGTTGTAAATAATAAAAAAAAGTACTCTTTTTAAAATACATTTCACAATGATTCCAGGAAAAAATAGATTTGTTATAAATAATGACATTTAAAAATAAAAATGAATTAGTTTATTCCAAGAACCTTTGACCATATTTTTCACCTTCATTTTAACGTGACTTTTCACCACCTCATGAAATGATTTATTGTAAATTCTTCAGTAAAAAATGTGAAATAAGAATCCACTACATATGCATTTAACATTTGACCTAATCCTTGGGTAATTAATCATAATGACATCAAAAATGAGAATACCTTATTATTATTTTATTTAAATAAACATTTACATATTTTGCACATATTAATTTTGTGTGTGTGTGTGTGTGTGCACGCATGTGTGTTCCAGGCCACCATGCACAAACAGGTTACCCACATTTCCAGGGAGGACCTGGAAGACCTTCGAGAGGCGTTCAATAAAATCGGTCAGTTCAAACACATGCACACACGACTTTTGCAGCCAGCTGTAAAGTCAAAACAGGTTTTTTTTTTCAATTGCCCACTTGGCGTGTATATTTGTACTTCCACTGCAAATCATTGCCCATCAGTTAATCATCAATTTTATATGATTATATCAGGGCCATATATGCTGACAGTGGCCTGCAACCACTGTCAGCTCGACAGTGCCTCCTATTCAATTTGCTGGAAGCATTTTATTCCGAAATTCTTCTCAGTTTGGCGGGTGCTACAAACTTTTAGCATTGCATCTGTTTGTTTGGTTGTTGAGACATCGACAACAGCGGCTACGTGAGCGACTTTGAGCTCCAGGAGCTGTTCCGCGAGGCCAGCTTCTCCCTGCCCGGGTATCAAGTGCGGGATATAGTGGAGACCTTCGTGGCCGGCGACACCAACAAGGATGAGAAGATCAGTTTTGAGGAGTTTGTCTCGGTGAGCTCACACCTCAGAATTTGAAACGCTGCAAGATGCTTAACTCCACAGGTGTCTTTATTTTATTTTTATTTATTTTTTTAGATTTATCAGGAACTGAAGAGCAAAAAGTTGAGCGAGACCTTCCGCAAATCCATAACCAGGAAGGATGGCATCCGGTCCTTTGGAGGGATGTCGGGAATCTCAAGCGTGGGGACACAACACTCCTATTCGGGTGCGAGAATTAGAACCCACCAACTAATATGGATTTTTTTAAAATTTTTCTTTCGGCCGATTCCAACATTTGGCAGAAAAAAAGTTTAGATCATCAGATGATTATGAAAAAATAAAAAAATAAATAGAGAGAGAGAATAAACTAACTTTTCTTTTGGGTCTCTTAACGCTTAAAACAACAACCAAGCGATAAATTACAGACATAACATCTGATTGTTTTACAATACTTTTGTCTTTTAGAATTTTTTTGAAATTTATGACAGAGAGGAATTTTGAAGTTCGAAATCATACAAAAAAAAAAAAAACTCCTAAATTTGGCTTGAGTTTGGCCACATACGCCTGCGGTACAGATTTTGTGCATCATCTAAAGAAAAAAAATCAGAAAAGAAAAAGAAACAAGAACCCTCTTGAGGCATGAACGTTGAAATTTGAAGTGCGCCCTGTGTTATTTGTATGTAGATGAGGAGAAGGTGGCATTTGTCAACTGGATCAACAAAGCGTTGGCCAAAGATCCCGACTGCCGCCACCTGCTGCCCATGAACCCCACAGATGAAAGCCTCTTCACCTCTGTCCGCGATGGCATCCTGCTCTGGTGAGCTGGGAGAAGGCTTCTGATTTTCCATGACTTTGGAGCTGCAAAAAATACATTTGCCGATATTATTATATATATATTTCACACACACACACACACACACACACACACACACACACACACACACACACACACACACACACACACACTACATACATACTGCGAGTTTACTTTCTGTTCTTCACTGCAGCAAAATGATCAACCTGTCCCAGCCCGACACCATCGACGAGCGAGTCATCAACACCCGGAAGCTGACTACCTTCACAATGACCGTGAGTGTCTCCAAACACGTGTTGTCGTGACAATCTATTGCCGCCAGAGTGCAAAGTCATCTTTTTATCAATGCCACCAAAGACAATAACCGTGATTGGGGCTGGACTGGACAGAAAACTGCTGTTGATTAAATCTGGACTTTGCAAAAGAGCAGTCTTAACCTTTATGCGGTGGAACTCTAAAATGTAATTATTAATGTGGCAAAAAAAGAGTTTGACAGTATTTATGATATGTGCAATATTTATTGTATTGGGGGTCTTTTATGCCAAATTGCTGCCTTGTTTAGTCCATCCATCCATTTTTTGATCCGCTTTACCCTCACAAGGGTCGCGGAGGGTGCTGGAGCCTATCCCAGCTGTCTTCAGGCAGTAGGCGGGGGACACCCTGAACCGGTTGCCAGCCAATCGGAGGGCACACAGAGACGAACAACCATTCACGCTCAGAATCACAACTTGGGACAATTTCGAGTGTTCAATCAGCCTGCCATGCATGTTTTTTGAATGTGGGAGGAAACCGGAGCACCCGGGGAAAACCCACGCAGGCACGGCAAGAGCATGCAAACACCACACAGGAAGGCCGGAGCCGGGATCGAACTCACGACCTCTGCACTGTGATGTCGACGCGCTAACCACTAGATCACCAGGCCGCCACTCTGTTTGGTCATTTAAAAAAAAATGAAAAAATTAAAATAACCTCCACAAATTTGAGATCGGTGGTGATGTTCTCACACACTTTTTAGGAAAATCTTGTCCTGGCGCTAAACTCAGCCTCGGCCATCGGCTGCACGGTGGTGAACATCGACGCGCTGGATCTGATGGTTGGGAAACCTCATCTGGTGCTGGGATTATTCTGGCAGATTATCAAAGTGGGCCTCTTTGCTGATATAGAAATCAGCCGCAATGAAGGTCAGTGCACACTCACACTGGACATGGACGCTCATGCAATGAGTGTGTGCGTGTGTGTGTGTGTGTGTGTGTGTGTGTGTGTGTGTGTGTGTGTGTCAAACTTCTGGTCCAATGAGCCATGCTGGCGTGTGCTTTGCAGGCATGATTTGCCTCCTGAGCGAGGGAGAGAGTTTGGACCACCTGATGTCACTTTCTCCTGAAGAGTTGCTGCTCCGCTGGGTCAACTACCATTTGTGCAATGCCGGCACCGAGAGCATCGGCAACTTCAGCGAGGATATCAAGGTCCCTCTTGACTATATCCGCCCACCTGAATATTTAACGTTCGACATTTCCGGGGCTTTATAGTTTCTGGAAGGATCTGGGTCGGTTCAATGTCAGTGAACTTGAGGTGGCCCCACCACAGTCACGTAGCTGCGTCAATACACGGAACTTTCCGTGAGTCATGTCAACGGACATGTTATCACTGAACCTTCTTGTTCCGCAGGATTCTCGGGCTTACTTCCACCTGCTGGACCAGATCTCGCCCCGTGGCGAGCACGACTACATGGGGGTCAAAATCGACATGAGCGGCCTGAATGTGAGTCACTTTCAACGTTTTTTTTTTTTCAAGTTACAGGTCATTGCTTCAAGTTTTCCTTTTCAGTGTTGCAAAATTCGAGTGAAGAGCGAGCTTCAGCTATGTCGCTCAAGATATGTCGTTGAGCAGTTAAGGTTTGGCAATGCCCCCGGCCTGTGTGCAAGGAGAGCCATCGTCGCTGACGAATTTTCAGACATTTATTGAACTGCCGTAGGCCACAGCTCACGTCCAGACTTTCACACGCAGACGAAGCAGCCAACCATACTCTAGCTCCTGATATCACTCATTAGGCCACACCCCTTAAAGGCACAAATCCAACATGCGGACAATAGGAACCGTCGCAGATGAGTGGAACTTGAATTCATTTCAGTCTGTCACATCGCAATAGTGACCTTTGTCGCGTCATTTGTCTTGTGAGGAGCGGGACCTGAACCAGCGGGCCGAACTGATGCTGCAGCAGGCATCCCGTCTGGACTGCCGGCAGTTTGTGACGGCGCACGACGTTACCGCCGGGAACAGCAAGCTCAATTTGGCCTTCGTGGCCAACCTGTTCAACATGCACCCGGCCCTACAGAGAGGGCCAGTCAATGGCTTGGAGGACACCCGACTGGAGCGTGAGACTCTTTTGACTTTTTTACCATTAATAAAGCAACGGGTGACAGCGGCAATGTCTCTCTCGTCTTTCCAGCCGAGAGCAGAGAAGAGAAGACCTTCCGCAACTGGATCAACTCTCTGGGTGTGAATCCCTACGTGAACCACATGTACCAGTAAGTCAAGCCGCAAAAGAGTTTCTTTAATTATATCCTGACATTGCTTATATGCACTTATTTTTTGTATGATCATTTCAGCGATCTGTGCGACGGTTTGGTGATTCTGCAGCTCTACGAGAAGGTGAAAGTTCCCGTCAACTGGAAGAAAGTCAACCAGCCTCCGTACCCCGCCCTGGGAACTAATATGAAAAAGGTTGAACTCATGACATCACCAATTAGGATTGGACCGATTTCAAATTTGACCCAAAAACTCACCGTTTATTTATTTATTTATTTTTGTGGGCGCGCAGCTCGAGAACTGCAACTACGCCGTGAGCCTGGGCAGGAACGTGGCCCACTTCTCCCTTGTCGGCATTGGCGGAGAGAATCTGAATGAAGGGAGTCCCATGCACACCTTGGCGCTGGTGTGGCAGCTCATGAGGAGGTGCGCTCTGACTTGTCGGGAATGGTAACACTGACATAGCGTATTGTGGGAGGGTGCGTTAGGTTGAAAGTCTGGAACCGTTTGCCTGAGGTGCCTTCGACATGACACTTGTTTTAAACTTTATATGTATATATATGTTTTTTTTTTAAATGACTACATGTATGCATGTAGTATGAGCTATTTTCCCAGAGCAACCACAAAGATGGCAGCTGCTTCAATAATGAACATCGATGCCAAACGCCACAACAGCAAAATCAAAGAAAAAAATAAACAAAAACGAGAAAGAATGTGGAATCAGTACTAATGGAGTGGCGCTACTCTCCCGCCCGCAGGTACACAATGCTGGTGTTATCGGACCTGGGCGACGGCGAGAGGGTGGGAGAGCAGATCATTCTCAACTGGGTCAACACCACCCTCAGTCAAAACCACAAAGATTCACAGATCAGCAGCTTCAAGGTGAGGGAACGTGGCTTGACTTTCAGAAGAAGGATCAATAGTTCTATCACCCTTTATGCAACATATTGCTTTTAGTAATTTGCTTTCTATATTATGATCTATATCTGATCTGTATTATGCAAATGAGCCAGCCCTAGCCCCGCCCCATATTGCAAATGGGAAGCCCAGCTTTTGTTAGAATAACGGCCAGTCTTGGGAAAATACATTTTCAACATTTTTTTGATACATTTACTTAACATAGGATAATAATGTATGTTCCCATTGACATGTCCCGTTCAAATCGGTGTCAACATTTGTGTTTCCGCAGGATCTCCACATCAGCACCAGCTTGCCGGTGATCGACCTGATTGACGCCATTGCTCCCGGCACCGTCAAGTGGGACATGGTGACCAGACCACAGAAGGGAGTGATGAAGACCACCGACAAACTCAACAATGCCAAGTAAACCTTCAGCACTCAAATTCACCTCCCGCAATGGATTTACCAAACTGAAATCGCCAATTGTACGACTTGGGACTTGTTGGGTTACCTTCATGAGACTTGACTTTGACTGAAACTACAAGACAAGTCTTCATAATACTGTAATAATAATAATAGTAATAATAACATATTTAATTTATAGAGCGCTTTTCAAGGGAACTCAAAGACACTGTACAGTTTTAGAATAAGTATGCAAAAAAAAAACAAATACAGATTAAGCGGTATTGCAGTTAAAAAAAAACCCACGCCCAATAGTTTTCAAACCATTCTTCATTTATTCATCAAACTGTATTATACTGACCCCCTGTGGCCAAAGCCGGCACACCAGAAGGAGCAGCCCAATGAATTGAATTGCATCACCTCCACCGCTGGTATTTCCTGCCAAGTCATTGTATCCTCTCCCCTTTTGCAGATACGCAGTCTCATTGGCCCGAAAAATTGGCGCTCGCGTCTACGCTCTGCCCGACGACTTGGTGGAGGTGAATCCCAAGATGGTGCTGACGATGTTCGCCTGCCTCATGGGCCATGGTTTGAAAAAGGCCCATCGCTACACTGGCCCCACCCCCTCCTCCCGACCGAAATAACATCCGTTCATTTATGCATTATCTGTTTAATTCCCCAAATGAAGAATACATTGACATGCAAATTAGATGGAATCATGCCTCATTCATACAATTACTTCATTTTTCATTTCTCTGATTGCCCGCCCCCGCTGTATTTAATTTCATTGGACATTGGAGTGGATGAGAAAAGCAAACTGATTGTCTTTTTGACAGTGAAGCTTTATGTCCTTTATTTCTGTACACTGAACATGGCTTTGAATAAATAAAAACAAAGTATGCTCAAGTGCTATATGAGTTGTATCTCATCACGTCACTGAAATTCAATTGATCAATCTGTTTCATCTCATAAAAAAATACATATGTTGTACATGCGTTCAATTGCATATGTATAGATTTATGGAATTATAATGATTTCTTGCACAAAGGATTGCTCTTTGTCTAATACATTAATTATTACATTAAACAATTTAAAATGGAAGTACTAAAATGACCATTGTCATTGCTACTACGAGCTACAATAAATAGAGTTTTGAAACACGGTTGAACAAACCATTTATATGTACTGAGGTCTATAATTTCAAAACTAATTATTCATCAAGTTGTTGTGTATAAGTGATAACATCAGGCGATTATACATTTATAAGGGTCAAAGTCATAAAGGTCCTCCAGGGCAACCATAACTACAAAAATGAGTGTGACACCCTTATTTAGAACAATCAAATTACAAACTCATATCACAAAATAAATCACGAATTTATTTCATACAATGTTTGCGCCAAGTACATTCAATTAAATATGCAACATCAAAATAAATACATGAAGTTAAACATTTATCTAATTGTCTCGTTTCAACGTGTTATCAAACTTCGCGGTTTTTGCGAACTTTTTGACTCTCGGCAGTTGCCGTAACACCACATCAACTACGTCAAAATGGAGCGAAAGTTTTGACTGCTGTGCGTTTTCGAACTCTTGCTCATTCTTCAATAAAAACGCTTTAGACATGAATTAAAAAACACGAGTAGACAGTGTTGACCATGGAGGGGCTGGAGATGTCAGCCATGATCCCCGCTCTTCGTGAGCTTGCCAGGTAACTCCGGCTGGCTAATGGCTAACGGACTGAGCTAAACTGAGCACGTTCGCTGCATGTACATTTGCCAAAGTAAAAGTCATCTAAACAGGCTTTATAAACTGTACACAATGTTTGTTAATGTTTGTCAGCGCCAGTCCGGGGGAATACGACGAAGCTGCAAAGAAACCTCGACAGATCCTGTGTCAGTTCATTGACAGGATACTGACTGACGTGGATGCGGGTAGGTTGGGGGGGGAAAGGAAACAATTATTTGCAAACACTATCAATTAATAGTGTCTAGAAAGTGCTACAAAGCAAACTTAGCAATTCTATTTTTGTTTTGACTTGGCGCCTTGTTATGACGTAATTAAAGGCTGACTTCCTCAGGGGAAGAATCCAGTTCCCGGGAATGAATGAGTGCTCGGTTTTAAATATTGTCAATGTTTTTTGAGTAAGTGCTGGTATTTGAATAATACAGGGTAAAAAGAATCCAGATAAAAGATATATAAAAGAACAGCACAGGACAAAGAAATGAATGGAAAGACATTGATAAATTGAAGATAAGCAGTAAAAATGGCATGGTGTATTTGGGTCACTCTCAACTTGTTCTGGTGCTTAAGGAGGTCGTGTCATTCCTTTCAGTGTCTCTCGGGCTGAATAAAAAGTCCACCTCGGAGCCTGCCTGCGTCATGCTGCTGGACTTCGTGCAACACATCATCAAGTCGTCATCACTCATGTTTTCCAACCCTGCCTGCCAGTCCGCAGACTACCCCGATACAACACAACACTGCATTGGTGAGACAGGTCCCAACATTTTCGGGGTCAAGCATCCATTTGTAACAGGAGGGCAAAATTCAGGGCAGCTCCAAGGGGGCATCTTGTAGGAATTAAATTCTTTTCTGTGGTAATGATAAATCGATCAACTGACAATCGATTATTAAATGAGTCGGTAATCATTTTAGAATCATAATGTTGCATTTTGTTCAGTGCTAATTTGTCACCAGTAGTGTTATGTTTTTGCATATATGGATGGAAATTACAATGTTTTTTCTAATTAATCGACAAAAGGATTGACAGATTAACCGATTATGAAAATAATCATTAGTGGCAGCCCTAATATCATCATGAGAAGCATTTTACGGTTTCGGTTCGTCTACAGACTTCGGCAAGTGGGTGTTACTGCGTCTGCTGCGCGTGGCTGCCGCCCCCGACTGCGGCGCTATCCACGGGAAGGTGCGCGCCGTCCTTTGCTCCTTGCTGCACTCCTTCCTCGTCCGGATGCCCTTCATTTTCGCCCGCCTGGCCCAAGGGCTCATCCTCCTGGTGGCCGACCTGAGCGGTATCCTACACGCCCACATCACCTCCCGCTCGCCAAGCCTTTGGCCCGCCGCCCTCCAATCCTTCACCGTCCCCCCGCCGTGCCCCAACCTCACCCCTTCGACCCTCTCTCTCGCCTCACCGGCTGCGTTGGAGTCCCTCGCCGCGGTGACGTTGTACGTCGTTAGCGACGTTGTCAGGGGTGTAATCTCCCCACGGGACCAAAGAATGGCCTGGGAGACCGCCTGCGCCATCCTGGCCAATGGTAACACCCGGCTGAGGACTGTTACCATGGCGATGCTGAGGCGGCTAGTGGAGCTGCGGGGCTTCCCAGAAGAGCTGGGACACCAGTTCTTCGCCACCTTCCTCCACGTGCTGAAGACGCACGCTGGCGGGTATGAGGGGGAGCTGCTCAGCCTCGCACACTGCGTGTTTCGCCAAGGTTGCACCCGCCTGGAGGACACGTACCTGGCACAAGTGTTTGAATGTGTCTGCACCCATGCGGAGACTCAGGCGTCCAACACAAGTACGGAATTATTATTATTATTATTATTATAGAATTGTTGTAGAAATTTAGCAGAAAATATGAAAAAGTCAATTTTTTTTGGGAGCCTGTGCTTCATTATCCACTAAAAAACGTCAGATTTTCAGGACATTTTTTTGGTGCTCTTTCTGTAACACCCCAACATGCCACAAGAGGGCGGCAATGCCCAGCTAACAGGCATCCCCGTGACTTGAGCATCTTCATACTGTGTGTGCATTCTTATTGTCATGACATTTGTGAATTTGTAAGGCATTTATATTTTAGGAGTGAACTACTAGAATGCAACGACCTAAGATCAAAACGCGTGCATTTTGAAGTACGCGAACTACTCAGAGACCTCTCAGAGACCGCACTTCTCAAGCCTCCTACCAATTTCTTCAGCAGAAATGCAAGCAACTTGTCATCCCGAACGACTTCTGGGGGCTTGACTTTAATGGAAAATATGCTGCTCCTTCTGGTGTGTGTGTCCTGGCATGTGGCAGCAGTATTATACAAACATATAAATATATACAGTACATTTTGTATAAACGTGGTCAATGAGAGAAATGCAGGCAGGATGGAACAGCTGGAGAAAAGTGTCAGGAGTGATTTGTGATCGAAGGGTGTCAGCTAAGGTAAAGGGAAAAGTTTACAGAACAGTTGTGAGACCGGCCATGATGTACGGTCTCGAGACACTAGCAATTGGCAAAAGACAGGAGGCAGAGTTAGAGGTGGCTGAGTTAAAGATGCTGAGATTCTCCTTAGGAGTGACAAGGATGGACAGGATCAGTAATGAGGTCATCAGAGGGACAACTCAGACAGGAAAGTTTGGAGAAAAAGTGAGAGAGGCCAGACTGAGATGGTTTGGACATGTACAGAGGAGGGACAGGGGATACATTGGTAGGAAAATGTTAGAGATGGAGCTACCAGGTAGGAGACAGAGAGGAAGGCCAAAGAGGAGATTCATGGATGCCGTGAGGGAAGACATGCAGGTAGTTGGAGTCAGAGTAGAGGATGCAGAGAACAGGGAAAGATGGAAATTAATGACTCGCTGTGGCAACCCCTGAAAAGGGACAAGCCGAAAGGAGAAGAAGTGGTCAATGAGAGAAATGTGTTTCAATCTTCACAGAGGATAAAGAATATATGCTTGTGAGTACAGTGGCCCCCTACATACTCACAGCCCGGCGGATGTGGATTCACCTATTTGAAGACATTTTTTTTCTGGTAAAAAATAAACACTGATGAAATTTATGTGCAGGAACCCTGGAGCCTGGCACTCCCCAGGGGACGGAGGTAACCCAGTCTGTGTGTCATGCTTTGGACTGGGCGCTGTCAGTCGCCATCAGTTATGAGAACGTCGCCCTACTGCAGATGAGGAGAGTGGTGCAGGTCTGCGGGACGCTGGCGCGCACCGTTGGAACTGAAACACAAGCTGAAGTACAGTATTGGTCGTCTTTTGACCGCCTGCGCCATCCTGGCCAATGATAAAACCTGACTGAGGACTGTTTATTTTTTATTGTTTTCCTCTACGCATCAGTGTGCGGAAGGTTTCCTGAAAGCTGCGCTCAAAGCGGAGATTGCCATGCTGATGCGCCAATTCGAAGACGAGGCCACGCCGAGCAAGAAAGTCTGCAAAGGGGCCCACGGCACACCGAACTCGGTGCCGTACGCGTGAGTGTGCGAAAATACTGCAAATAAACAAAGCCTTCAGAAATCGACTGACGTTTGGCTGTTACAGCGAAGTGGCCGTACGTGATGACAGTGAGGTCTGGGCCGTGCTCAGCAGCCGCTTAGAGGAGCTCTTGGCGCTGTTCAACTCTGACAATTGTGAACTCAAGAGCGCCCACAGGCTTGCCGCGCTTCGGGGCGTCGGGCTCATTCTCCGACTGGCTGCAGTTTGTTCCTCGCCCACCAGGTGATGCACTACCCCACACACGTTAACGACTCTAATTGCAAAAATAACCTTGTATCAAATCTCAATCACAAGATTGAGAGGAAAAAAAAAAAGTTTGTTGTATTTTCATTGACGGCAGCAGCACTTCATAATTTTTCCACCAGTGGCGTGACTTATATTCTTCCAATTTCTCAGGCAGCCGCCACTTCTCTGGTTGTCCTCTGAGACTCTGGGTAGGACATTGAGGAGCTGTCAATCAGTGCTAGAGGGCGGGGCTGAACCCGTCTCCAACCAGAACTACTACGAGTCCGCTGTCCAGATCACTATGAGAGTCCTTGACTGTGTGCTCTACCTGACCGGTAGGCCTTCCCATGATAGCATTATTGTCTAATGCAGTGGTGCACAAAATAACTTGTTCATAAATAATGAAATGTTGATTTATTGATTTAGTTGGCGCGCCCTCTCGCCCCAAAAAATGTGAAAAATTACACTGCCTAAGACACCCTCATTAAGTCTGCATTTACTTTTGCTTTTGTTTTGCTATGCAGCGTGCAGCCAAGGTCAAGATGTGCTCCATCGGCATGCGTGTGCGCTCCTGACGCTCCCCTGGGTGTCGGCTCACAAGTCGACTTCGGCCTACAAAAATACGGGTTTCCACTCCTGGGTGCTCACCTTGGCTCAGAGGCTTCACTTTTGCTTCTGTGAGTATGCTGCCAAAATAAATAATATCTAACAGAGAGCACATGTTTTTTTTCTATTTCCATCCTTTTATTCCAAAACAAATGACTTTGCATTTGCCATTCTTATTATTTGAGGTTTGTGTTTTGTCAGCGAGCAAGGTTCGGACGCAGTGTCTCTCTCTGGTGGCGCACTTGCACGGCGGGGTGTGCGCGGCGTGGCGTGCGTTTGTGTTCTCTGCGGCCCTGCGAGGTCGGGACGAGGCCCTGAAAGAGGCGGCGGTCCGGGCCTTCCCGCTTCTTCTTCACCATCTGGAAAACTCCCAACACAACCTCATCACCACCACCGCCCTATAGTACGTGTTGAGGAGGCGGGATTTGTAATTGTATTGATCACACATGCAGGGGGTGCGCCAACTCTCTCAGTATGTTAAAGGTGATGCATAGTTTCCAAGGAGCTGTTTCTATATCGTAAACATATTTGTCAGTGAAATTATGTAATAACCACATTTTCATTTTATTTGATCAAATCTTTGGGAGTGGGTGTGCACAGGAAAGTGGGTGCGCCAACTCTAAGAAACCTTTGAGGAACGATTGTTGTCAAGATTAAATTAGCTTTTAGCTTTTAAGTCCCAATTTTGGAGGGACACCACCTTTGTCAGGATGTTGTCGGGGGTGCGTGGCTTAAAATGTATTCCACATCCGAAGATAAAAGTATACAATACTCAAACGTTATTATTTGTGTGTTGCAGTCCAATGCTGGATGACTCTTCGGAGAATGTGCGAAGGGAGCTGGCGAGGATCGTGGGCCATCTGAGCTGCGTCCAGTCGGGGCTGTCCCTGCTTAGCTACGACGCCAATCATGCGGAAGAGCTTGTGTGCCACGGCCTCTGCCTGGCGGTGGAACACCTCGGCGGCGCACCCCCATCCCTGACAGCATCCTTTGTCAAACCTTTCCTGCTTCTGCTCGGACCACTGGCGCCAAGTAGCGTTAAACAAGGTCTTGTGGCAAAATCTTTACCTATTTAAACTATAAAAAAATGCTTCCACATATTATGTTGCACACATATTGATTGGATTCCTCTGCTCTTTCCTTTTCGAATAATGCACACCTAACAAAATGTGTAAAAAGTGAAGCATTGTAAATACTTTCCCAATGCACCGTAGTGTACTGTTCCAAACCCACTGAATGTGTTTGGTTCCCTACCGTAGCATTTCTACAAGCACTACCTCACCTCTGCCAACATGTCCGTCTGGGTGATGCTGGCGACGACTCCCAGGAGCTTTTGTCCGCTCTCATCGGCCTTCTCAAGGATTCGGATCCGGGCGTCAGGATGAGTTTCAGCCAATCGGTGCGTTTCCTGTTGATGGACCCCTCCCCTGACAACAGCCCCGCGAGTGAGGTGAGTGCTTCAGACGTGTGTATGTTTGGCTGTGTGTGTGTGTGTGTGTGTGTGTGTGTGTGTGTGTGTGTGTGTGTGTGTGTGTGTGTGTGTGTGTGATCTTTGTGCACGTGTATGTGTGTGTTCCCAGCTGCTGACTGTTGCGCTCAAAGAGGCCTTCAACAGCGCCAAAGCCAACAATGACGACAACTTGCGCCACACTCTCATCCTCACCACCGGAGAGATCGGCAGGTAAGGAAACAAACGAGCCTGAGGGGTTGCGCCAAACTCTGTCAGTGTATTGATGGGAGCGTGTCTGCGCAGTTTAAAAGGTTTGTGACAGACTTAAAAACGAAACATATCGAAACACTCCATGCCTCCCTCATGGCACGTCAATGGGGGCATATAAAAGGAATAATTAAAGGACCTAAAAGTGAGCCTTGAGGCACTCCACGTGTTACTTCGTCCTTTTAAGAGCATTGAGCCTATCTACATACATAAAATGGCCCATTCTTTTTTGGAGATGGGTCAGAGGGGTAGTGCCAGTTCAAGGGGCCCGGGTGACTTCAAAACTTTTGGATATTACCTTTGAATTTTGTTTTTGATCAAAACATTGAACCGAACAAGTTCCCCTCCCCCAAAACTCTGGTGATGTCTGTTAGAGTTTCTGTCAATTTACCTTCTGATCTCGCTGTTCCAGAACATCTCAGGGCAGCTTGGTGTCCTTCTCCCTGCTGCATCTGCTCCACTGTTTGCTGTCCAAGTCGTCGCCCGTGTCTGTGGGTGCCTACACACAGATCAGATCGCTGGCGGCCTCCAAAGGAATCGAGTTGCAAACACTCTTCAATCAACACAAGAACCCCATTTGTCAGGTAAGCAAGCACCGGAGGAAGGTCATGCACAGGTGGGCCCAAAAGGAGATGACAGAAACAAGGGGAAATATAGATGGGTGTATACCTATCTAATTTACTCTTCTTTTAGTTAACATAAGTCAAAGTATGTTTTCAAAATAAGTTTTCTTCCTTCCTTGCCTCATTCCTTGATCCATTCCACCTTATTTCATCACTCTCTTTCACACCATCCTTGTTTCCCACCTCCCGTCCCGCTTTTCTGCCTATGTTCCTTCCCTTTCTCTTTCCTTTTGTACCTTGTCCTGTGTATCCACCACTAGAGTGGCTTCAATTCACGGGACGTGCGTACATCCGTTTGTTTTAGTTCCTGGTGGAGTCGCTGCACTCGCGTTACTCTTCGGCCACGCGCAGCATGCCCCAACAGGGCAACGATTCTGCCCATCAGAGGGAGCTGGCGCTTGACATCCTTGCTCAGATCGCACACGCCTTCAACTTCCCAGACCTCCACCTCTTTCTTTCTGTACGTACATGGAGGCCACGCGCCTTGTTGCTGTATGAGACGTGGATCAATATGAAATATTCTGAAATGTATTGCTCATATGCTGGGGTATTCAGCGGACGCTGCAGGTGCTCTTGCCCTACTTGGCCGCCAAGTCCAGCGTCATTGGTTCCGCCCTCATCCGCACGCTGGCCAATGAGCTGAACGCCAACCGGCGGGAGATCCTGATCAGTAACTTCAAGTACATCTTTAGCCACCTGGTCTGCTCCTGCACGAAGGAGGAGCTGGAGAGGGCCTTCCACTACCTCCAGGTAGGGAACCGCACCATCCCGTCCTAGTTCGTCGGTTTTAAATTGAACTCACGAATGCTCACAATATAAAATAACAAAATCATATATAATCGCACTTTATTTGATTATTTCTCGACACTCAAAGCAACAGTAAGATGAATAATGTAGACGTAGTAAAACAAATACACAATACAGTAAAAAATATTATTAGACAAAATGCAAAACAGATGGGGAGATAAAAATATTTGACAGAATATACACATACACAGGGAAAAAAAAAACAAAAGTAATAGTGAAATATACTTAAATATTAATACTAGATTGGGAAACATTACAATAAATAAAAAATGCACAAATATTTCACAAGAATGTAAACATTACAAAATTAGAAGTTATTAAATAACAAACAGAGAAAAGGAAATAATAATGGAAAATGTACAAATATTACCCAACAATATTAAAAATATTAGGAAAAATAAAAATGTTGCTAAATTATCTGACTAACAGCCTTAAATACACAAATGTTGAAAAAATAAAATGTTAGAAAAGAAAAATAAAATGGAACAAAAAATAAGAACAAATTATATACATTGGAAAACTTATTTTGGGAAAATATACAGATATAAGAGGAGGAAAACATAAAGAGCAAAAACATCAACTAAAGAAATAAAATATGAGGGGGAAAAAATGTCATATGGTGTTCCGCAGAGTTCAGTTTTGGGGCCCCTGCTGTTTTCATTGTATTGCATTTGATTTGTCCCTGTGACCATATTGTTCAGAGCGAGACCGAGATCGAACTGGGCTCACTTCTGCGCCAAGACTTCCAAGGCCTTCACAACGAGCTACTGCTGCGCTTGGGTGAGCACTATCAGCAGGTCTTCAACGGCCTGGCCATCCTGGCTTCCTTCGCGTCCAACGACGACCCCTACCAGGGTCCCCGCAACATCACCACCTCGGAGCAAATGGTACCAGAATGTGTTTTTTGTAGATTTTTTTTTTTTTAATGCTTTTATTATTGTATCATATCTGTTATTCTTTCCACGCAGGTAGACTACCTGCAGCCAAAGCTACTAGGAATTCTTGCTTTCTTTAACATGCAGTTTCTCAGCTCTCGAGCGGGAGAGAAGGACAGGAAGAAACTGGTGAGCTAAATATTGAAAAAGAAGTATCGAAAAATACTGGAAGGAAAATGGATTAATATCAGGAGAAAAAAAAACATTCCCCAAAATTGCAAATATGACAGTTTGAACTCTGGAGATGTCACACTTGAAGCTCCCACTGTGTCGTTCCATTTTCAATTGAGGCATTTCGAGTGAGGGTGTGTTTCCTGTGTTTGAGGCGCTGACCAGCGTGATGGCACTGATGCGACTGATGGGGTCCAAACACATCAGCTCAGTGCGGGTGAAGATGATGACCACCCTGCGCACCGGCCTCCGCTATCGAGAAGACTTTCCTCTGCTCTGCTGCCAGTCAGTACCCGATCTTATTCACAATTTGTGTTCCTAGCTAAATAGCCACTGAACTGTGCTACATTCTCTCTTCATTCGGTAAAATGGCATGACTGTGTTTTGAATGCTTTTGGCCTTTGCCGACAGAACGTGGGAGTGTTTCGTGAGAAGCGTGGAGACGGCACATCTTGGCCCCCTGCTGAGCCACGTGATTGTGGCGCTCCTGCCTCTCATCCCCCTGCAGCCCAAAGAGACCGCTGCCATCATCCGCTTCCTCATACTGGACAACAGGTTAGCCATTCGGTACCATGAATTCACATGTACGATATCAACAAGTGTTATTCACTGCTGTGTCTTGCACAGGGAAGAGGTCAACGACTACCTCCATGAGATTTACTTCCTGCCGGACCATCCTGAGCTCAAAGACATTCACACTGTGCTGCAGAACTACAAAAAGGTCCATTTGACGGTGCTAGTCGGGATCATACACCACAAACACGATTCCAATACTTGGCAGCTTCTAGTTTCGTATCTTCATTGCTTCTTATTTTGGTCCCTCAACGCGTACAATAACAACAGTTGTGAATTACATGAAGATTGCACCCCAGCTCGTAGCTCGAAACGCACACAGGCTAACGAGTTAGCCAGCATACAGTTGTGGATTACATGAAGATTGTACCCCAGATCATAGCTCGAAACGCACACAGGCTAACGAGTTAGCCAGTTAGCAGCAAGCCAATTCTACACTCTTTTTTGATGACCCCCTTAAACATAGAAAAATCAAAACAAACAGTTGTAAAAGATATTAATGCAAATGTATTTATATATCAACCCAGGACTGTCCAAAGGCTTCACATACATTTTCTTGCAACTGTATACCAGCAGAGCCAAGCGTGTTCACAGCGTACTGTATATTTGTTCATTTGCTTAGTTGACAGCAAGCAACAGTGACCTGGCGTCTGCATTACAACTTTCCATGAGAGCCGTTCAGCACGAGAACGTCGACGTCCGCATCCATGCACTGACCAGCCTCAGAGACATGATGCACAGCAACCAGGTGAGCGCAAAGACATCATTTGTTGACATATTGGCAAGCTGAGTTGATCCTCTTTTTGATGATGCCAAAATGTTGGGGTTTGGGGCGACCGCAGGAGTGGCTGTCGAGGCAAGTGTGCGCCAGTGAGTCTGTGGAACCGGTCATCTCCAGCCTGGTGTCGGTGCTGCTCAAGGGCTGCCAGGACTCGTCTCCCGAAGCCCGACTCCTGTGTGGCGAGTGTCTCGGTGAGCTGGGCGCTGTGGATCCGGGTCGCCTGGACCTATCGCCGTCGCACATCCACGGTGACCGCAACACCTTTGTGGTATGTCTTGAAAAAAAAAAATTGGGCCTCGTGCAAGGCCCCGTTCATTTCCACTCGCATTTTAATGTTGCTTTTGTGTTTCAATCAGGGTGGCGTGGCCGACCCCAATTTTGCTTACGAACTGCTGACCGAACTCACCCGAGCTTTCCTGGCTTATGCCGACAACGTCCGAGCGCAGGACTCTGCTGCGTACGCCATCCAGGTACACCCAGGCCATCATACCTTTATGAAACTAAAACTAACTCTAAATGTAACAAAAATGTTGGAATGTGCGTGCTGAGCCAGCATTTGTGTTAATGTGTGTGATCTGTCATTTTAACTGAATTCCCATGATTCCGTTTCCGTAGGAACTGTTGGCCATCTTTGAGTGCCGCGAGGGTCGCCTGGATTCACCGGGCCGCCGACTGTGGAGGAGATTCCCGGAGCATGTCAAAGAAATACTGGAGCCTCACCTCAACAGCAGGTACTGGAGGGCAGGGGGCATCCTCAGACACTGTAACCCAAATTTGTACGCAAGACGCCTTAGTCTATCATCACACCGTAGTAAAGTCAGAGAGTAAATATTTCCACAGTAGCACATACACAGAATGTACGAGGAAGTCACACGTGCAACTGAGCCGCGCTATGACAAATTGGATCGTGTTCATATTAGGATAACAGAAACTATTTGTCTGAAAAACACGACTGGGCGAACAAAAAGTACAATGGTGGTACAATGGAAAAACTCCTTCTTTCTCATCTCGGGTGTGCGTCCACGTCGCAGGTACAAGAGCAGCCAGAAGAAGGCTGCCTGGTCCAACCTGAAGAAGCCAGTCTACCTCAGCAACCGGGGCGGCAAGTTCTCCGACTGGGCCGCCACGTGGGCCGCCTATCTCATCAGCAAAGTGAGACCTCTTGTTTGGACTGGTAATAATAAAAAAATAATAAAAGCCGTATTCAAATAAATGGTGATTAAACTACATGATGTAGTGAGCTGATGTAATATAACAATGTGAGAAATACATTTTTTTAAAAAGTCACTGAATACTTTCCTCTAGATTTTACAATGATGAATTAATTAACTTCTTTTCTTGGCCGGGGGGGGCGTCAGGTACGACACAATTTGGCAAGCCGGGTGTTCACCTGCTGCAGTTTCATCATCAACTACGACTACAAGGTGACCATCTACCTGCTGCCTCATGTGCTGCTCTACATGCTGTTGGGCTGCACGCCGGCCGAACGAGAGGAGGTGAGTGTTCCATAGCTGATAAAAAAAAAAAAAAAAAAGTAGTAGTCTGAATGAATACAGAAAAGTTAGCCATGTCTGCATTATACTGCCCCCGGGTGGCCAAGGTGCGCATTACCAGGAGGAGCAGCATAATGACCCGCTGGATTGAATTGTGACCTCAAAAAACCTTTTTGACCTCGTGTTCAAGTCACCACTGTATGCGTCTTTCGCTCCAGGTGACACAGGAGATGCTGGCCGTGCTGACAGAGAGCGAGGAGCGTGTCCAGGAGACGGCGTCCAGCCACTGGCAGCTCAGCACTCAGACGGTGTTCAGCATGCTGTCTCACCTCACCCAGTGGAGTCGCCACATCAGTCACGTGGAGCCCAGCGATAACGGTAGGTCGCGATATCAAAGGGAACAATCAGCGTGCGATTATAAGTAGGGAATCTCAGCTTCTGCTTCATGTGTGCCGTTTTTCATACGAATGCAATAAATCAAACAAATGCCAGAGTTGCCGTTTTGCATGAAAATTTGTTGATGTTAACCACCATTGTCTAGCTAATACCTTAAAAACACGTAAAATACATTTTGTGACATTAAAAACAAAAGACAAAATACGAACCATCTCACATAAACTGCAACCTCGAACAATCATAGCAGAGAGTGGCAAGTACAAGTGCGTGGCGGCTTTCCTCAAGGACATCCCGCAAGATGTGATGGCCAAGGCGGCGCTGCATTCCAAGGCCTACACGCGCGCCCTCATGCACTTTGAAGCCTACATGCTGGAGGGCAACGAGGACATCAAGGACCACCTCACCTTCCTCCAGGTGAGACCACCGCCGGAAATTAAAAGCAGTGGTTTGACATCAAGTATCCCCTCCCCCCTAGCTCCCAAAAAACACAACCTAACCCTCCAAGTACTATCAGAAAGACCAACTTTCAATCTGGTAGCATATTAAGCACTCCCAAGTCAAAGCGAAAAAAATCAGCCAAATGAAGGCTCGTATCGGGTTTCTGGCCAGCGATGAAAGTGAGTTGACGCCCCTGTCTCTGAAGTTAGCATTTTAGCTGAACGAGTGGTCTACTTTCTCGCCGCAGACATTGTACGCTGCCATGCACGAGCCCGACGGCCTGAAGGGGGTGGACGCCCTGAGGCAGGAGGAGCCGTCGCTCCGCGAACAAATCCTGGAGCACGAGAGCATCGGCCTGCTGCAGGATGCCACCGCGTGCTACGATCACGCCATACAGCTCCAGTCCGACCAGGTACCCAACCGCTGCCCCATATCCTGGAATTCAGGTTCAGTGTCGGCTCTTCAATGGTCACACGCAGTTCCCACAGCAATTGCGCTCTCTAGTTTGTTGTAACGTTCTTCTCTGTGTGCCGCCGTTCTAGATCGGCCACTATCACGGCGTCATGAGGTCTCGGTTGGGCCTGGGCCAGCTGTCCACAGTCATCACGCAGGTTAATGGAGTCCTGGCCGACAGGTACGTACTTGACCTTAGTACAGAATGCGACGTCCGGTGGTGGTTTTTCCACACCAACTCAGGCTAGTCTGTACTAACCAAGCCTTGTTGGATGAGCTGATGAAGCCTTCTTGGATGAGAAGCGAAGCGTCTCCTAAGACAAACAGAGCTGCCCGGTTGCAATCGATTCAATGCCCTGAGAAAGAAATGAAAAAATATATCATCAATTCCTGTTAGTCGAAGACTATGAAGTTTTAGGGATGCGATGCCGCTAAAAATTTGGTTATGAGGCCATGATTCGATTCAGAGCATTTTTATGGACATTATTTATTTATTTATTTTGTTTTGATGGTGAAAGGTTTTTATGGTCTTGCTAGCCAGAGGCTGAGCACCGCTGCGTCTGTTTACGACGTTTAGGGAGCAGTGGACCTCGGAGCTCAACGCCTACAGAGTGGAGGCTGCCTGGAAGCTGGGCAAATGGGACCTGCTGGAGGACTATTTGAGTTCGGGTAATGAAATAAATTATTGTTCATGACTCGACTCATTAGCCACCTTCTTCCTCAGCCCAAAAAAGAAAATGAATCGAGCTGCCAAATGTGCCTTCAGACCTCCAGTCCAGCACGTGGGGAGTACGACTGGGTCAGCTGCTACTGGCAGCCAAGAAACAAGATGGCGCCGCCTTCTCCGAGAAGCTGAAGCTGGTCCGGAATGAGCAGGTGGTCCCGTTGTCGGCCGCCAGCTACGAGTGCGGCTCTTACCAGAGAGGATACGAGTACATCGTCAGGTCTGTTGGCCTCGTTTTGGTCCTTTGACAATGCTTCACTTTTTCCGCATTGTTTATTTGACAGCCTAATTCCAAATTGAAATAAATTCTTTTCCTCATTTGACAGACAGTACCCACCATGACAACGTGGGGGGAAAAAAAGTTTTTAATGATTGCAAAGTTATTCAAACAAATTTTTAAAAGTAAGAAATCACCCACAAGAGTGTATCTGAAAAACACCAGTCACTTTGTCCAATTAGTTTATGTTGTCGCGATGGCATTTTGTATATTTGCATCGTGTGTTTGAAATGCACAATATTTTCCTCTCCTTTCTATGATGTCAGGCTCCACATGCTGAGCGAGTTGGAGCACACGTTCACCGAGCTACAGAGGCAGGAGGGAGGCTCGTCTCCCGGCCTCAGACAGCTCCCCTCCCATTGGTCGGATCGGCTGGAGATGACCCAGAAATCATTTCGGGCCAAAGAGCCCATCCTGGCCCTCCGCCGCGCCCTGCTGAGCCTGCAGTCAAAGTAACCACGCACAAACTAAATTAACGACTCTTTAGATGCTGTGTCCTGATAAATGAATGCCTCGCCCAGTTACGCCATGTCTTATTTGTTCTGCTATGTCTGCCAAACTTGACCTCAAAGTCAATTTGACATGATACTCTCCATTCCCACAGAACCAAATTTAAACCTGGTTCCAATGGTACACACACACAATGAATGGACCCAAAAAAAAAAAAAAATCCTACTTCCTGTGTTAGAAATGCACAACATGTGCAATCTATCATGTTTACGGTCTTTGACTTTTCCAGGCCTTCGAGTCAGAAGCTGGTTGGCGAGTGCTGGCTCCAGAGCGCCCGGGTGGCCAGGAAGGCCGGACATCACCAGACCGCCTTCAACGCGCTCCTGAACGCAGAGAACACGCACCTGGCTGAGCTGCTCACCGAGAAGGCCAAGTGGCTTTGGTCCAAGGTGGGATGTTACCAAAATGAGTCACAGTGACCCACAATTCAGAAATGAGCTTTTAGTATCATCAAAAAGAGAATGATCTCAGCTTTGCAATGATATTTTAACCGATGTGCTACACTACTCGGAACATACCGCTATTGATTACTCATTACATCACCACCGCATATATGGACAGGTAGATATCACACGTCCCTTTTAGGCTGCGTGCCTTGAGCGACGTGAAGCCTGCATGGTCTAAGTTGTCAGCAAATTTCATGTGTGTGGATGGCAGAAAGAACAAAAAGCTAAGAATACCGGTACATTGAGCTATGTAAGGTTGCGTACAAGCATGTACAATCACCACAAGTGTAACTTTTGAAAGGTACAAAAATTTGAGGGGGCTTTTTTTTAAATTATATGTATTGATAGCACACGCTTTGGCGTTGACAAAAAAGTAAACCTCCTGAAAACCAAAGTCGCCCCTGCCAACATGGCCACCACGTAAGCGCGGCGGTTCACTTTTTTTTTTTTTTTTTGGGGCTCATATTTTCGCTGGGCGGTCAGGGCGACGTCCACCAGGCGCTGATCGTACTGCAGAAGGGCGTGGCCCAGTGCTTCCCTAACGAGGAGCCCCCGTCGGACCCTCACGACCTGCAGACCAAAGGCCGAGCCATGCTGCTGGTGGGCCGCTTCATGGAGGAGACGGCCAACTTTGAGTCCAACGCCGTCATGAAGACGTACAAGGTTGCCATTTACGCAAGAGTCCTCCCATCTTTAGCGTTGCTTTTGTTGATTCGTTTTTTTCTTTTTGCGAAGGATGTGACCAACCTTCTGCCTGAGTGGGAGGACGGCAACTTCTACCTGGCCAAGTACTATGACAAAGTCATGCCCATGGTGACCGACAACAAGATGGAGAAGCAAGGGAACCTCATCAGATACATTGTCACCTATTTCGGAAAGTAAGACCGACAAAAAACTAAACTGAGTTCGCCGAATTACACGAGGACTCGTTGAAGCACTCTACAGCTGAAATCACAATAACAGTTTTGGCTCTTCAAACATAAAAATTCATGACAGTTTTAGTTATGAAGAAAAGAAAAAGCCAACAATGATAATGGCAACTTTTTCATGTGCTACATCATGTAGCAGAGGCTTGGATCATGAAGTGTGTAACCACATGACAGTAACCAGACCAATGTTGAAATATTTGAAGCATTTTTTATCGGTCCAATTTTGTTGGTATCAAACAGATGAATTTGATGTATTTTCTGTTTTCCCCCAATATCAGTCCGATACTTATCTGTCTTATAGTTATCACGCGTTTCTAAAAATTGTCATTGAAAGTAGGAGCTGACCAATGAATCGGCTGGTGGATTTAATCGGCAGATATTTACTAGTTTAAAAATAGTTAAAAAAAAATCAGCTGATTTCTTTTTTCCACATTCCTACAATTAATCAAAATTAAAAATCTTACATTTACTAAAAGTCCCTGGAATGTGTAAATAAAAAAATATCTCATAAGTTAGACACACCAAGCCAAGCTTTCACCAAGCCTAGCAAATTTGAATTCAGCGAAAAATATATATTTGTACAGTATGTGCTCAGGTGTCTGTATTATAAGCCACCGGCTGAATAACGTGTGCTGTTGTGGTGTTTAATAAAGAGATTACAAATCTTGTCTGTTCAAGGCTCGTCGATGTGAGACATGTAATCCATAAATGGCATTATTTAATCCTTGGCGGGCATCTTGTTTGTTTCCCTCCAGAGCGCTGCAGTTTGGAAACCAGTACATCTACCAAGCTATGCCCCGTATGCTCTCCCTCTGGCTGGACTTTGGAGCCAAAGTGTGTGAATGTGAGAAAGGTGCGTGGCCAATCGTGTCGTGATACATGTTTGTGCTGTTTTGTATAATTATCCGTAGGGCTAGCCGATGAATCCATTTTTAGCACTTAATTTGCCAAGAGATAGTTTTCAAAAAGCACATTCAAGTGTTGCCAACTTCAGCACTCTTCCGACCATTCTTGTCCCATTTAAAAAAAAAAAAAAAAAAAAATGGAACTTGCAGTGAATTCTTGCTAACAGACCACATTTATGCACGTTGGAAACTTTTGACCCGAGGTATGTGCGTCCAAGCCGTTTTCCTCTAAGCAAAGGCGGAATGAAAATAATTTGAAATCAGATTTCTGTGAAAAAATATCATCCGGCCCAAGTGCGTTTCCATATTTTCCCAGTAATCAAAGCTATCTTCTTCTCTAGCTGGTCGGGCCGACAGGCAGATGCGCCAGGAGCTGTCCAAGATCAATGCGATGATGGGCGAGCATTGCGCCAACCTGGCTCCCTACCAGTTCCTCACCGCCTTCTCGCAGCTCATCTCCCGCGTGTGCCACTCCAACGACGAAGTCTTCACCGTCCTCATGACCATCGTGGCCAAAGTCTTCCTGGCGTATCCGCAGCAGGCCATGTGGCTCATGACGGCCGTGTCCAAGGTAGGCGCACTTTTTTTTTTGCTGGAAAAACGCCAGGCAAAACCCACTTCTGAGAGAGAATGTGAACGAAAGACAGCAAAAAATGATGAAGATGCAGTTAAAAGTTAAATGACCATCATTTTTATTCTTTGTTTTTTTACATGATGCACAACTCTCATTTATTGTGCGATAATCTAATCGTAACATGTATTTGTTACATATTTTGATGCATTTTTATGCTTCAGAAAACATTTATGTCTGAATTTTGGGGGGGGGGGGCTTGGAACGGATTAGGGCATTTACATGGAAAACACGTCTCGACTTACAAAATTTTCTTGCTCAGAAATTTCTTCCAGAGTACATTCATTTCGTAAGTAGAGGTACCACTGTACTTTACGCTGACGAGGATGACGATGTTCTCGCCCCGTGTCCCTCAGTCGTCCTACCCCACCCGCATGAATCGCTGCAATCAGATCCTGAAGAAAGCCATCAGCCTCAAGCAGTCTCTGGACAAGTTTGTCAGCGACGCCAACAGGCTCACCGACAAGCTGGTGGAGCTCTGCAACAAGCTGGTGAGTCGTCATTCTCACAGGAAATTACAGTGGTAGCTTGATTTACTCTACAGATGCCACTGAAAAAAAAATATGGTCCTGTACTTTGACTTTTTGTTTGATTTGTTTTCTCCGAGGTAAACAACGACACCGGCAAACTGAGCATGAGTGTCCACTTCAAGCATCTGAAGCGTTTGGTGGAGGAGCCCACCTTCAGCCAGATTCTCATCCCGCTGCAGTCTGTGCTCATCCCCACGCTGCCCTACACCGGCGGGGCCAACACCACCCACGACGCCTTCCCGGGACATTGGGTCTACCTGGACCACTTTGAAGACCACGTAAGGCGTACAAAATCATGCCTGGGGGGGGGGGGGGGGGGGAAGGAAAAAAAAAATCATCATACATTACAATTTTTTTTTTAACACTTCTATTTTCATAAATTGCTTAACAACACCACTTCAAACTTGCTCCAAACTACCGAGCGATAATTCAAATCGTCTGTAGTGTTTTTAAATCAGAAGGCTGTTTTGTGACCGGCGCGTGTTTTCCCAGGTGGAGATCTTGCCCTCCTTGCAGAAGCCCAAGAAGATCAGCCTGAAGGGCTCGGACGGGCGCAGCTACACTATGATGTGCAAGCCCAAAGACGACCTGAGGAAGGACTGCAGGCTCATGGAGTTCAACTGTCTCATTAACAAGGTAAAGAAATGCTTTTCCTCTTATTGCGGCAAGCGCAGTTTAATACCAGATATTATATTCTGTTCTTTCCTCTGGCATATCACTTTAGCTACAGTGCCAAGTAACTATTAGGGGTATGGCGTTAATAGGAAGAGGCCTTTTTTAATTTTTTTTTTAAAAAGTGCATTTTCAAACAATTTTAAATGCCATTATATATAGTTCTTCCTCATTTAGTGTCCACGAGGCGTTAATTCACTTAATTCCAGAGAGCACCGGATGTCTCTTAGGGGAAAGGAGTTTATTGAGGAGAGGACTTTATTTTCAAACAAATCCACTTTTATAACGATGTAAATATGTTTCACTGTTTTTTTTTCTTCCTCATATAGCAGCCAGGGTTGATTATTTGCTTAACTTTAGAGAGGATCAGGCATTTATTATGGCTGAGGTACAAATTGGGGGAGACTTTTTTTTTTTTTTTGTGGAAATACATTTTCAGATTTGTTATTTTCATATAGTTTTTTTTTTCTCATAAAGTGGCCCCGGGACAACTTTAGAAACCACCAGGAGTCTATTTGGGCTAAATTGTTTATCAGGAGAGAGGTCTTTAGTGTTTAGTACCTGAGCTGCAAAGTACCTCCAGGCAAACCTTATCAGAGGGGAGGCCTTTAAAAAAAAAAAAAATCTTAATATAAAGAGGCAGTGTGTGTGTGTGTGTGTGTGTGTGTGTGTGTGTGTGTGTGTGTGTGTGTGTGCGCGCGCATAGTGCTTGCGCAAAGACGCCGAGTCACGGCGCCGGGAGCTACACATCCGCACCTATGCCGTCATCCCTCTGAACGAGGAGTGCGGCATCATCGAGTGGGTCAACAACACGTCGGGGCTCCGCCACATCCTCACCAGGCTGTACAAGGAGAGAGGTACGTCACGCCGCCGCCTCGGCTTCACGGACGCCAGCGCTGAGCCGTGGCGTGGGCCTTTCAGGCGTCTACTTGTCGGGCAAGGATTTGAAGAAGATGATCCTCCCCAAGACGACCCCCTTCGAAGAGAAGCTCCGCATGCACAAGGATGTGCTGTGCGCTCGACACCCCCCCATCTTCTACGAGTGGTTCCTGCGCACCTTCCCTGACCCCACGTCGTGGTATGGTGCTTACGCTCGAGTATATTATGATGAATCAATCCCAAAAAAAAAAACATTCACAGCTTACGTGAAATCCTCTTGGGGAAATGTCCCTTTTGTCAAGACCTGATCCAAAAACTATCATGACACAAACATTCGAATTTGTAAAATCGATGGATCGTTCAGACCTACATTTAGTGTTTTTGTTGTTGTTGTTTTCCTATCGGCAGGTACAACAGCCGCTCCGTATACTGCCGCTCCACAGCCGTCATGTCCATGGTGGGCTACGTCCTCGGCCTGGGGGACCGCCACGGCGAGAATATCCTCTTTGACTCCTTCACGGGGGAGTGTGTGCACGTGGACTTCAACTGCCTCTTTAATAAGGTTCACTTGTTTATGACACCTGCGGAACAAGCTTGGTACTCCATTTGCCGAACTTCACTCAGGTTTCCCCATTGAAATTGACTAAAATGCCACTTGTATATTCCAGACTCAACAAAAAAAGACTTTTTTTGATGTTTTTATTTTTTAAAGGAAAGACAATCCAACCATCCATCCATTCCCCGATCCGCTTTATCCTCACAACAAATAATAATCATTATAATACCTTGGCCGGCTGATTGATTAGTCGGCCCCTCGTTCCAACTTAATGACGAAATTCTAAACCGTTGCCTTGATGGTGACACACGATGTTTCTCCCGTCCAGGGGGAGACGTTTGACGTCCCCGAGGTGGTCCCATTCCGTCTGACGCAGAACATGGTGCACGCCATGGGGCCCATGGGCATCGAGGGTCTCTTCAGGCAGGCCTGCGAAGTCACACTGAGGCTGATGAGGGACCAGAGGGAGTCACTCATGAGGTACGTCAAATTGAGGAAATATTAAAAAAAAAAAAAAAAAAAAAACAACAATCGAATGTTAAATTAAATATTTACCTATTAGAGAATTTTTTTAAGTCGAAAATATTTTTAAATTGTAACAAATCATGCTAAATAACAAATATATATATGTTCTCATAAATTTAGCATCGCAACTGGAGGACACAAAGGGTGTCTATACCACGTACATATACAATATGCACTATTCACCAAAAATATCATTTTTCATCCTTATGAATGCATTACAAGGGCGGCCATGAAAAATTAATGCCTTTTAAAAATTTATTTATTTTGTAATCCTCTTTCCTTGCCAGTGTCCTAAAAACCTTCCTTCATGATCCCCTGGTGGAGTGGAGCAAACAAGGCAAAGGACTCTGCAAAATTCAGGCCAACGAAACTGGAGAGATCCTCAACGAAAAGGTGTGCGGACCAAACCGTTCAAACTTTTTTCGTTTTTCCTTCTTTATCTTGACACATTAAAACGTCGGACAAAGACAATGGTTTTCAAACATTTCCAGTACCACCCCAAAAAAAAAAAAACAAACAAACACAAAACTTTCCATGTACTCATAACTTGGCCCCGACCAACTTACATTGGCCTTAAAAAAAAAGCTTTTTAAAAAAATCTATCTTGGTCAAGCCCTACTTTTAACGGCGTTCCACTGGTCTCCTTGGTCCTGCAGGCCAAAACGCACGTGTGCGACATCGAGCAGCGTCTCCAGGGTGTGATTAAGAGCCGCAATAAAGTTCTGGGACTGCCTCTGTCCATCGAGGGCCACGTGCACTACCTGATTCAGGAGGCCACGGACGACAAGCTGCTCTGTCTGATGTATGTGGGCTGGGGGCCCTACCTGTAAAGTGCACTTCTACTCTCCTTGCGTTCACGTTCACAAGCCTCAGTTCACAAGTTAGCAGCTTCCCGTTTTCTAGAAACTGACATTTATGTACATGTTCTTGTTAATAAATAATTATCTTTTGTTCCGTTCAGATGTGCACGGCACACCTGCAAGTGGGCTCATTTTAATGTTTATATTTACATTACCACATTGATTAATCAAGTGTATTTTTTTTAATTCATGCAACACTGTTCTGTTCATACAATCATTGATGAATTCATTAACCAGTTTCAGAAGTGGAAAAAAAAAACTAAACTAGTGCAACAAATGACGAAGATAAAACAATTTTTGATTAACCATTTTTCTGAAAAAAAAGTACACATTAAATGCAGTAAATAAAATTGTCTCTTTTAATTCAGTAATAATTCACACTCATGTTAGTTTATTTATAATTAATGTAATGAGAAGGTTAGTCAAATAAATGTACTGTATATGTAAAGTGCTTCAAAATCAATGATCAAAATACGCAATTTTAAAGAAAAACATTGTACTTAATGTTGGAGAGGCCGCAACAAAGAACGGCACCTCCCGTATGTGGCCCACGAGCTAGGCTGGTCTAATCCCATAACCCTTTTTAAGAGTCACCCTTTCACCTGCTTTCTTTAATCCCACTACAAGAGCAAGCAGGAGTATTTTCCACAGATGACAGAATTTTTTTGTATTCTTTTTTATTTGAAACCAGTGAGATTTTTGGACCCAGTCATGACTTTCAAACTGAGTGTTTTTCATTGGTACATTTTTACTTCTTGTCAACACGTGACTCCTGCTGCAGCTCTGTTTTTGACATAAAGCCACGGTAATAATGCAGACCTTTATGATGGAAGAGTTCTTTTTTCTAAAGGCTGTAAAGGGGATTGTAGTGTGGGCTTTTTTTGTACATTACAACACTGGGCAAATGTAATCAGACAATCAAGATCAAGGTTCTATTTTTGTATGATTTAACCATACAAAGGGGTTCTATACAAGCATTTTAGTTTGCTCTTTTATTTCCTGGGGGGTAAGGTGACATCTATTTGCTGTCAATGTTTGTTTTTTTAAGTGCACTGGGCAATTAATGGAAAGCATATAGAAATATAGGGCTGGGCGATATAGCTTTATAATCTTTTTTGTTTGTTTGTTTGTTTGTTTGTTTTGTGGGCAGTCACTCCAGAGACGCAACTATTATACATTATCAATGTTTTTTGTCATAAACATTCAGTCTGTTTTACATAATAAGGCCGTTCTGAACAAACTTCCGTTTGTGCTTTTACTTTAGCGGGCCATACCGGAACTCTACGGACAGATTTGAAACTTCTTACCGTTTAGCTCTCAGGAACGTCTATCAAGCAGGTCAAAAGCTTCAGATTTAAAAATTTAACATTTTCGCTCGTAAAAATTTTCAGTTGTAGCCCTTCCTGTAACGACTCAACCTAAGGGATCGCGCGAATCCGATGGCTAAAAGGACAAAAACAACACAGCAAAGTCATCTGTCATATGGTCACTAGCTAATGTAATCTTGACCCAAGGAAAATGGAGGGGTCAGCGGGTGGCCGGCGGTCGCTCACCTAGCTCGGTTCCCGGGGACAGAGGACGGTTCGACTACGGTCGAAACATCGGGTACCGCGCTTCTCTCCTCGACCTTGACGACGTCATGGATTTGACGCGGTTGGCCGTGGACGCCAGCCAATTCATCAACCGCGCGGTCCAGGTAAATATAATCAAATTAAAATGAATAAATACATAAAAAAAAAAGAAAAACCAGAAAATGGTGCTAGCTAATGGTGCTGTTCGACCAAAATACGTACACGCTTACCCCATTTAAACTTTCGGGGAGTCCCACCATCAGGCCTGTGTTTTTTTTTTCGATGATTTAACAGAACATTACAAAGATTAAATGTGTGTAGGTCTTCTACAAAACAATGACCTTTTAAAATATTCGACTTTTTGTGGACTGTTTGTCACTTTAGGAAAAGTCACAAAATTCCAAGTGGAAACAACATTTAGGATATTTTTTATTGCTATCAAAAAGGATCAAATTTGACCTGAACAGTGTACTTTTCAGTACACGGGGGAGAGTCTTGGCCAGGCCGACAAGACCGACTTAGATCCCGACCTGGAGGAGCTCCTGATCCGGGTGGATGCCACCAAGACTTGGACGGACCTCATCGTCTCACAGACAGAGGCCGTGTTGCAGCCCAGCACGGGTCGGTGATACAATGGTGACTTGTAAGATATTTGAAGTTGACAAGCCATTTTATCAAACGTCACTTTCAGTCGACAGCACATTTGCCGGTTGGAAGTGTATACTTTGGGCCAAATGTCCAACATACGGATGAAAAGGAACAAAATCAGATTCTTCCGAAGCACTGACCTTATCTAGACACTATATAAATAAATATATGAAACATACATAGGAATAAAAAAATGAAGCTTACCGACCAACTGAATTGAAGCTGAATTTTTTTTCTTTCCAAATTACAGCCTTTGCGATTTGACAATTCAGTTCTACTACCTTGCGATGTTGATGTGAATTCATTTGATTGTTCAACGCTAGTCTGACAAAGCGCAAAAATACCTCTCTAACCAATTTCCTGTATTCACGAGCTTTTTATTTGTATTGAGCAGCGGCGCGACTGGAGGAGAGACTGTACGAGCATCTGGACTGGCCTGCCCCGTCTCGACCTCGCGCTCAAGAGCTCCTGGGTGACCAGATGATTCAGGCTGGGCTGGAGATGGGAACCAGCAGCCCTTACGGTGAGTGCATGATAGTAATCGCAACTTTGTCATCAACATGCAGCGACGAATTGAATTTTTGTGTTCAGGAACATCACTACTGCGATGCGGCGAGGCTCAGAAGCAGCTCGGCGAGGCCCAGAGGAAGTTTGCCCAGAGCGCAACCATCCATTTTCTCAGCCCTCTGCGACGCTTTGGCGTGTGTGAATACAAAACCATGCAGGTACCACATCCTAGGGGGGGGGACATCCTTTGGATTTATGTCAAGCATACACTTGTTTAACTCACATTTACAATGAGAGCCATCCCACACATTACAAAGGGGAGAAAAAAAAATCAATGCAGTTTCTTCTTTGAATTACATCTGTCACAGTACCAAGACTGACCTGTGAGAGGCAGCAAAGGACATCCAGATTGATGGACAATACAAAGAAGAAAAATGAGGAGTTCGAAGAAAACATTCAAACTTTTCTGACTTTCATTTTTATGGCGGTGAATGAGTCGTGAGACACATTATACAAACACTCAACACCTTTCCGTCTGAAGCGAGCCAAAATGCTCAAATTCCACCCAATAAATATCGAACGGGTGTAACATTAATGACTGTTGGCCCCGAGTCGATCGTTTGTGCGATTCTGGGAAAAAATAATTTGCATGATTCATTTTTTTGGAATTGATTTTTGAAATCATGATGAAGAAACACTATTATTCATTCGGTTCAAAACTCGTGTTCAGGAGGAGCGCAGGATGTTGCTGAGCAAGCGTCTGGACTTGGACGTTGCCAAGAGCCGACTGAGGAGCGCTCATGAGGCCGAACAAGAGTCCAGGGTGAGAAGGACTATGAACGGTTGAAGCCATCACGCCGCGGCGTTTGCTTGCTTGCTTGATTGTTGTCATCTGATTGACGACCTCAGAACCTGGACGCAAACCCCGTGGAGGACGACTACTTCTCGTCTCACGTGTCCTACATGTTCCGATTCATGCGCGTTCGTTGGATGAAGGTGAGTCGGCACAAAGCCGCTCGGGGTCAGCGTCGCCGAGTCCTCTTGACGCTCAGCCTCTCTCGTCCAACAGATGTGGGCGCAGGAGATCTCGCAAGTGAGTGAGTGGAATCGACACACACACACTTGGCACGCGGTAAATTGACATCCCAGATTTTTTTTTTTGACGTCAGTTGACATTAAAAAAAAAAAAACAATCTGTGATGGAGTGAGACACGTTTTGAGTTGTTCAATAAGCGTATCCTCCAATTTAGAACTCAAAAAACAATTGATGTGTAGATGTCTGTATGTATGTCTCTGTCTTGGTTTCATAAAATTCAGATGCACACTTTTTTTTTTTTTCTTAATGCATTGCCGAGATATCGGATCAGGATTCGGCAGATACTTAAAACCAAAGATTTGGACTTAGTTTTAATACATTTTCAAAAACTTCAAACACTATAAATTCGAGCGCCCACCAAATTGATTGTGGGCTGCTCCAAAAAAAAAAAAAAAAAAAAAAAAAATTGCCCATAAATTGAAATTTGCATATATTTTCCTCTCTATTGTAAAGTAAACAGGACAGAGGATGATAAAATAGTCAAATGTTCTGCCCGTAAATCATATCGTTATTGTTTTAAGTGTAAAGGAACCAAAAATGTTATTTTGTTCATTTATATATATATATATATATATATACATATATATATATACATATATATACTTTTACCAAAAAAATTATTTTTATTAATCAGCCAGATAATCAGCGTAATTATATTCTGCCAAACATTGAAATGGATTAAAAAAAAATCCACCCGAGAGGCCCTAGAGATCCCTTCTTGTTGATGTTATGGGGTGTCGTGTTTGGAATTTTGAGTACAGAAAACAAATGATTTCCATTTTGGAATAAGGCTGTCAACCTCAACAAAATGTGGAAAAAGTGACAAATCCTCTCCGGATGCGCTTGTCATTTACCGTTGTTGTTTTTTTTTAGGCCGAAACGGAGCTGAGGATCTCCGAGTCTTTGTTCCATCGGCAATCGGAAGTCACGCGACAGCTTCTGGGAGAAATTAGCAACACCCACGTACGTACGCACGCACGCACGCACGCACAACCGCTTTGTAAGTCATTTTTCCGAGCCAGCGGGACAGCGGATTGTCTTGCGTGAGTGTTTGGAACACCCAACATATGTGTTGCCCAGAAACAACACTTGACAGTGTTTTAGTGACGTGTGGGTTGTTTGTGTTGTGGTGTTTTGTTTTTGTTTTTTGTTTTTTTGTCAGCACAACCACATGCAGAGGCTGAGTGACTTTGTGGACGCGCAGACGTGTTACTACGCCCAATGCAAGCAACACGCCCTGGAGCTCCACAAACAGCTGGCCAGGTTGGAAAAGTCATACCTCTTTCTGATCCAAATAGGGCAAATTTTTTTTTTTTTAAATCACATTAGTTTTTCAGTGTTATGTCGCCTTTTATTTTCAAATTCTCATGGATTTTTTTTTTATTTTGAATTTTACATTGTTTGAATGACATTTTACTGAATGTTTTTGTAATTATTTTGTAAATATACAGTAGAAATAACTGAAATATTTTAGTATCGCTTATTTCCAAGCGATCATTTGTTTGCCATTTTTTTAAATGATTTTTTTTTTTACATTTTTGCAATGTATTGTTGAAAAATAAATGTTTATATGGTCATAACAATAAAGCATACATTTTTGCATTTTTTTCTACTTATTGTTAAAAATAGATTTAAAAAATAGCTATTACATTTTACTTTATTTTTACATTTCCATTTTATTAAATTGTTTTGTTTTTTTTTTTTTTTGCAATTGAATTCATTAATTTAACTCCCCGCCCCTCACTTTTTTTACCTGAATGTTCCTGTCGCACAGGATTCACACACGTGCCAATGTACGTTTTTAGAAAAGCTTGATGAACATATACTATTCATTTCTATATTCACACTTCAACATAAATAATTGGGAATAAACACATGATCAACATTTTGACTTTCCAATGTCCTTGCAGCGTACCGGCCGTGTTGTGCTCCAACAAGTGGCAGTCGTCAATCACCAACGGGGCACCTCCCTGTCAGCATCCTTCTGCTGAGGAAAATCAAGTTTCTTCCGCCTCCGCCGTCGCTGTCGTCCACCACCTTCCGGAATTCGACCAGGACTCTTGGACGATGGGAGTGAGCGCTAACAATAACAACGAACAGATCCCTGGTCATGCTTGTCCATCAGAACATGAACATCCTCCATCTTCTGAACCCGCGTCTTCCGACTAATTCACGAGTCTCCCCCGCATCATGGCCAAACAAGTGCAGGTGAAAACCCACAAAGTTAGTTACATTTAAAATTGAAGTCATCAGTGACATCACCAGTTAGTTTTCAAGTGTCGTCATCGAGTAACTAAGTTACTCTTTCAAGGTAACTGTGGCAAGACTGCGGTACAGTGCGCGCACAGGTTCGAATACTTTCGATCCTCCTTTTGGCTTGTGTATGTGTACCTAATGAACTGTCTGAATTCTACCCCAAAACGAGGCTCAGTTCATGGTCATTTTCTCCTGGGTGTGTGTGTGTGTGTGTGTGTGTGTGTGTGTGTGTGTGTGTGTGTGTGTGTGTGTGAGTGTGTGTGTGTCTTTGCGTTTGCATTTCGAAGCCAAGTAAGGTGAAATAAGATCGTTCCACGCATACACACACGGTGTCACCCCCTCAGTGGTCCCAATAGGTCAATTGTAGTACTCGTGTTCACATCCAGATGTTGTTCATTTTCCCCTCATAGAGGCCATGATGGATGTGTGTGTGGGGGGGGGGGGGGGTTAACATACATCTAACTGGTTGAACCTGCAAAATGTACCCAAACTATACAAATGCAATACAGTTTCCCCCCAAAAGGGGAATGGTGGGGTGGTGTGGGGGGGGGGGGGGTGTATATGTATAATGGAAATACATACATGATGTAGATGATGTCATTATCATGCTACAGGCTAGAGGTGTGTGTGTGTGTGAGATGTCGCTGACGTCAACGCTGAGTTGGCATGTGTTTAATGTGGAAATAAATATGCAAACAGTGACATGGGGCTCCCAAAACAGATTTTTTTTTTTGGGGGGGGGGTATTTTTTAGGGGTGTAACATACTTTCCTACAGTTTACTGCTGAAACAAAATGCTGTACGTTTAATCAAAAAATAATGGTGACTGTACATTTGTTTTTTTCAGGTATAGCATTTGTTAATGCAACTTGGTTTTAACTTGTACAATAATGACAGCAGTGTATGTAGTCAAATGCACGAGCTCACTAATATGTCTTCAATTCAAATATGTATTCATTTTTGAAAGCAGTCATTAATTGAAGAGTGCAGGCCACTATTCAGAACATTGCTTTACATTTCCCAGCTGTGTGATATTTAATAACACTGTTTCCTACGACTCAACAAAAAATGTACAAGTCTCAACGACAATTGTCCCTTGCGATCGCTCAACTACCTTTCCTGCTCTTTTTTTTTTGGTTGTTGTTTCAAAATCTTTCCCTTTGCCGCTACAGGAAATAAGATCCTCGCGACTTGTGATGAGTGAATTACGACATAATAAATTGTATGATGAATTACTTTTTCCACCGGCCCACCCTGTAAAAGTAGGAAACTGGTGCATCCTCGTCAGTTTTGGGGTACAGTACTGCGTGCAGAAAAAAAGTGTCACAAAGTTCATCCTCTTCACCCTAACTGCTGTCATTGCTATGGCGTCAGCAAAGTGTGAAAGGTGTACATTTGGCGGATTACAGCAATTGAACAGGATGCAAAAATATTCCCAGTGTTTATCTGTTGTGAAAATCATCCCTCTCTGGCCCCATTTTATGCCTGTAAGTATTGTTTAAGTTATTACTTATGAACTTGTCATGGCCAAAGCTAACCAACGGCAGACTGTAGAGAAACAAGGCTAGACTGAAGATGATATTTCAATCATCTGTACCATGGCTAACAGAGGCTAATGCGGAGACCCACGCAGGCTCGGGCAAAAGAGACCATTCCAATTACTTGGCCGCTGATTTAACTCAGAAAAGTTAAAAAGAAGCAATTGGAACGCTCTCTGCTTCATGTCAAGGATAGAAAGCTCAAGTTCGAGGTTTGGACGGTGCCATATGGACGGCTGCAACCAACGGCGCCCACGTGACCGCTCCCATCAGGTCATCAGGTAAGTTGATTGCGTCTTTTATGTTTAAAATGATGGTGCGAGATTTATTTATTGGGGGGGGGGTCCAAATAAAAAAATAAACAAACGAATAACATCTACCCAGTAACATTTCGTTTTGGCAAGCTTCCATCATGAACAGCTAGGCTACATTCAGAGGTAGGCTACATTCTGATCTTGCTAGCAGCTACTCGGGAGTTGTTTTTAAAAAAGCGGTCCATCAAATCAGGTTCTCTTTGTGTTATACTCGCTTTGACCGTAAACTTAAAAAAGAAACTGAAGCCACGTTATTTGTCAAACTTTAGGAAGTTTATTAGGAAGCAAGTTAACCTTGTGTTGGCCACTTCCACACAGTGCCCAAATGTCAAAGCAGCAAATCAGAGGAATAATGGCTTGCATCTCCCAAAACTCATATCTCAAAACTGTCTAAGTGTCGCTACAGTAAATGTTATTGCTCATCTTTCATGAAATATTGACAAATCTGATGGTTGTTTGGATTGGAACCACCATTGTACTAGACCTTGGCTGAGTTTACCCTGTGGCCAAAAAATCATGACAAAAATGGACTTGGCCCACTCTAGTTGTCAGGGACTCATACTTAAAAGATTTTATTTTTCAACTCTTAGATTGTGTTTGACACTCCTGTGATTTTTTTTTGGGGGGGGGGGGCTGGGGCACACCCAGTCTTATTGCACAATGCTGTGGCCCGTGTGTCGGGCTGCGTCACAAGCCGACCAAGGGAATGCTTTGGAAACTTTATTTGAAGAACGGCGCTTTCATCATATCGCCCCCGTCGAGTTTCCCCACATGCTGTGACCTCCTCGTTTTCCCGGCAACCCTATATTTCTTTCAGATGCGTGAAAATGTTTTATTTGTGTAGTCGTTTTAAAATAAACAAGTGACATTTGTCTTTTTTTTTCTCAAAATAATATTGATGGAAATTTTGATGAAATTGTAATTTTTCAAAACTATTTCTTCAAGTCATTCATGATTTGTTCAACTCCATTTAGTTGCTATGATCCAACAAACGAAACAGTCTTTTTTTTTTGGGGGGGGTGACATCTCATGATGTGATCGTGAAAAAAAAACCAAACATTTTGCTGGTGTGCTGCAATTTGGGTTTTTTTTTCTTCATGTTGATGTCTTGTTTCTCTTCCCGTGCAGAAACCCCCTACGGATTGCTGCGACGTCCGCACAGGATGCTGACTGTCACATTTCTTTTTTTTCCTAAGGACCTCCGACACCCGGTGACCTAAAATCAGGTATGTGACCCCTGCCCCCCCCAAAAAAAAACATCTCTCTTTGTGTCACACAGGGCCTACACATTCTCATCCTGCATTTTGCAATGGGGAATCGTCAAGAATGTCTGAAAGGAAGTCCAATTGTTCACGACAAAACAGTCTCACCTCATACTACATTGTCTGTTCGCGCACAAAAAAAAAAAAAAAATCTCATTTTGTACAAAATTGAACACAGCTTAATGAAAACATTATTAGGGAGAGTATACTGATGTTAGTGTAAAAAGAAATTTGATGAGTGATTTTATGAAATGCAATACAAAGGCATTACAGAAAACATAATGCAGTTTGAAATTTGACAAATTATTCAAAACCAATGTTATAAAACATATTTTGGCAGTTGGTGGTGCAAAATTAAAGCAAAGCAAATGACTGTTGGCAGATCTTTAAAAAAGCAAGGTCAGATTTTTTTTTTCTTTTTTTTGCATTTACAAGACCATCGTAAATTCTCTTGGACCCCCCCCCCCCCCCCACGCTCGCCCCCAGTCAAAGACACACGCCCCCGCCCCCCCAGACTGGACCTCCTACTCCCTCCAACTGAGTTTATAAGGCGGCCTCAGTGGGCCCACAGCAAACACTTTTTACAGGGCCTACAAGAAGCCAGGTGCTTCTTGTACTACATTTTGGACTCCCCCCCTTCCAAAAAATGGGCACTCTAAGAGTATGGGGGGTGCTGAGGCTATGGGCAGTGCTTTGCACAATGGCATGCGTGGGCTCGTCGCCACACAACAATCAGGTGGACTACGCCGACGTCTACGACAACGAGGTGGCTAGTGAGCAACAGCAAGGTACCTTTACGTCTTTTCCATTGGCTCTGCCGTTTACCGCGAAAGCAGGACAATTGCTTTCAATGTCATCAATTACGTATAGATTGAATTAAAAATACTATTTCTCATTTTTATGAAAAATTTCATTTATTTGTTTTCTTTATATTTACTTCATTGTTTTTTTTTCTTAACGTGTATCCTCCTTAGAGGATTCCCTGCAGCCGCAAACATCGTGTCAGTCTGCGGAGCTCACTCGATGGGACAAGCTCTTCATCGCCCTGGAGAACTCTCACATGAGGCAGAACATGCTGCTGGAGTCCTCGGAATCTTGCTGTGGGGCCACGGCGTCCCTCAGGGCGCAGGTTGATCGCCTGGCCCGGACGACGTCCCATCAGTGCCCGCCCTGGCAGTCCGCCCTCAAGTTGCTTCATCAGGACCTCCTGGAGCTCCGTGAGGAAGGTGAGGCGAGGGAGAGGAGGTTCAACGCCACCCTGCAGATGTATAATCATTCCAAGCCTTCGGCGTTGGGTCTTAAAGAACAAGAAGTGACGCATGAAGTGACGGCGCCCCCTGCCGACAGCGTGGAAAAGGCGCTAGTTACCATAGCGACCGAGCTGCAGAGGCTCTATGTGCAGCTCGGCCGAGTTATCCAGCAGGCGGGCACACTGAGGAAAGACAGAGGAGACTCGTGAGAGGCCCACACCAGATGGACTGCTATCTTACAGTGGATATAAAAAGTCTACACACCCCTGTTCAAATCTTTTTTGTGTGTGTGTGTGATTAAAAAAAAAAATGAGAAAGAGTTATCAACTTTTTCCACCATTAGTGTGAACTGTACCCTGTTCAACACACACACACACACACACAAATATATATATATATATACTGTATACACACACACATACGTCTAAATTTTCCATCAGAAAAACTAGTATTTAAACAGGGGTGTGCAGACTTTTACATCCACCTCTATATTTGCACATTTGGATTATTATTGAGGATTTTTTTCCCCCCTATTTGAACTTTTTTTTTTTTTTTTTTTTAAATCTGGATTCATTTGAAGCAATAAAAGAGTCATGAAAAGAAGACCATTAGCCTTGTGGAAATGTGTCCTCCCTCCGCCCACGCGGTGCTTTTTAAGTCGCAGCCAATTGTGCGCACAGCTCGCACGCTCCCGGTCTAGTCCAAGGATGGGCAAACCTTTCTGCTCAAGGGTCGCATTTGATTTTTTTTAAACTGGCAGATGGTAAAAGTGTTGCGCCAAGTAAAAGTGTTGCAATGTGTCAAATATGCCACTGTTTTGGCTTTGTTTTTTCCCGTAAAAATGGTTTGCCACAACTGCCTCCCCGTTCCTCCTACATTCCAAAAACCTGATGCACGTTCGATGAAATGAAGGCTGTAAATTGTCCGTCGGTGTTTGTCTGTTTGTGCGCTGCGATTGGCCGGGGACCACTTCAAGGGGGGTGTACCCCGCCCGCTGCCCTTTTTGATCAAAAATGGAATGTGATCTTGATTAAGGCTTCTGTTACTTTTGTTTCTTTTCGACAACAAAAATGTTCACGGGTCAGGGTGACCCGCCGCATGTTTGGTCATCAAAAAGTAAAATTAGAAGTGACAATGCAAAACAAACACATGACACAACACGACATGTCATAACAGGTTTGAAGTTTTTTTTTTTTTATGTGTTTTTTTTTCTTCTTTTTTAAAAAATCTTTTGTTAGCTTTTAAAATGGGTCACTTTAACCCACAATGTAACATAACAACATCACATCACCAAATTCTTGAATAACTAGATGTTTGTCCCCTGTGTTCTTTTCATCCTGGCAACTAATGAGACGCTTTGGTGAACGTCGGCTTCCGTGGTGCGTTTTCAGCTGCAATACGGTGCGAGAGAGGCGTGCTGATAATGAGAGCAAACACAAAAGCAGGTGGCTAATGATGAGGAAATGGCTGGGACAAAAACTCGACTTGCACAGGAGTAAAACCAAACGGAATCAATGCAGGATACAGTCATTCCGTCGAAGGAATGACTGCATCCTGCACGGGTGTCTGTCTGGATTCACTTCCCACTTCTTTGGCGGCCATTACTCTTCTTTCACCTCATTGTGGTTGCCAAATACCATTCGAGTCCCGAAATGGTTGGCGCCGCGCCTTGGCAGGCGAGTGTGTGAAGCCATTAAAAAAAAACCAAAAAAAAAAACCTCATAAATAAATACCTTCCCTTCAAGCGTCGAGATTGATACCAACTTAAAGAGTCGAGCTGTTTGTTCACCAGCGAAATTTTATTGTCACATGAACAGACGACACCATGTTGGCACTTTTTTTTTTTTTTTTAAATCAACCCCCACCAAAAAGGTTTTAAAATTCCCCCCAAAAAAGACAGCACAAATGAGACAATAATGGCACTCAAAGACCCCCACCAAGGCCAAACAATGAAGACAAATTGCCATGTTTTTGTTTGTTTGACAGCTTGCAGGCTACTTCCTGCCGTAGTCCGTGAAATGACAGAAAGTATAAATAAATGGGTTCGGATTTGGGCAGGTGTAAAATTTGGAATAGGCTGTTAGGGGACAGGTTTTAGGTTTAGGGTTAATCGATCATTTTTTGGGATTTGATATTAGTTGGTGGGCGGCCCGGTAGTCGAGTGGTTAGCACATTGACTTCACAGTGCAGAGATACCGGGTTCAATTCCAGCTCCGGCCTTCCTGTGTGGAGTTTGCATGTTCGCCCCGTGCCTGTGTGGGTTTTCTCCGGGTACTCCGGTTTCCGCCCACATTCCAAAAACATGCATGGCAGGCTGATTGAACACTCCAAATTGTCCCGAGGTGTGAGTGTGAGCGCGGACATTTGTTCGTCTCTGCGTGCTCTGCGATTGGCTGGCGACCGGTTCGGGGTGTCCGCCGCCTACTGCCCGAAGACAGCTGGGATAGGCGCCAGCACCCCCGCGACCCTTGTGAGGAGAAAGCGGATCGGATAATCAAATGGTATTAGGGGGTTAGCGGTTGGGCTAAGAGTAAGGTTTAGGCTTCAAGGTTAAAGTTCGGTTTATGGGATTTGGGTCGCGTTCGGAGTTGGTGTTTGGCTTCAGGGTAGATTTAGGGGTGAGGAGGATTGGCGGTTCGGGTGAAAGGTTTTAGTGTAAGGGTATTGGGATGGAATTTAAAGTTAGGGTTAGAATTAGCGGGTTTAGGTTTCTGGATTTAGAGTGAGGAATAAGTGGGTCAGGTCCTTGAGTTGAATTTATGGTTTGTGATTACATTTTGGGTTTGAAGGAGGTTAAGATTTTAGGGATAAATTTGGGGGTTCGATTTTGGGTGAAGATTTGGCGGTTAGGTTTTAGGATAAGGGTTAGGAGTAGTGGTTTAGGGGTTGGTTGTTTTCCTTGGCCTGTACACAAAATGTTCAAAGTGCATGAAAAACCACAGTCAATTTTTTTTTTCAAGATCTAACAAGTGGCAATCAAAACATAACCTCCCGAATCTAACTTTGTGCTTGGTGGAGGTCATAAAACTACCAGCGAGCGTGTACAACTGACTTGGTAGAGAGAAGAGGGTGCGGGCAGAAGCGTCTTATTTAATGGGTGAGTCTAGAATTTCCTCATATTCCTCTCTGTGACGCCGGTTGCCCCCGCGGGACGCCAACAGCTTCGTGGTCACCAACCAGCCGACGCTCAGGACCACCATGGCGTTCCCGACCACCTCGGGTGCGCTGGGGGCCAGCCGCGCTATGACCAGATGGGCTGCCGTGGCCAGGGGCGCCTCGAGGCTCTGGCTCGCAGAAACCAGCGCCGGGTGGACCCGCGTGAGGCCGTGCGTCACCCCCAGGAAGGCGACGCTCGAGCAAGCCACCAAAGCCACGACCAGGCCCCAGCCAGGAACGCTTGCCGGCCAGGACCAGCCCTCCTGGAGCAGGGCCAACGAGGCCGGGGTGACCACGCAGCCCGTCCAGCTCACGGTGAACAGAGCCGTAGCCACGCCCACTCTCTCCTTCAGGGACCGGTAGCCCACCAGGGCCAGGGCCAACCATAGCCCCGCAAGCGCCGACAGGGACCACCCAAATGTGCCCCTCCAGAATACCACGGGATCTGTCGGGGAATCGGCATTGCTCTCATCCGCCGCGGGGAGCAGCAGGACCCCCAAACCGCACAGCCCCACCGCCAGCGTGATGCCATCTGACAAACCCAGACGCTCCTCCAACAACAGGAAGGCCAAGGTGGCGGACAGCGCCGTGGTGGCCAGGCGCCAGGCGGGGGCGGCGTCCTCTTGGGAGGTGAAGGTCAGCGAGGAGTAAGCGCAGCACAGGGACAGCGAATAGGCGACCCCGTAACAAAGCAGACGGAGGCGGTAACCCTCGGGTCCGAAAGGGTTCTCCCCCTTGTACAACGGCACCGCCACAAACAGAAGCTGGACCACGGACCGAACCAACAGGAGAAAGAGGGGGCCCAGCCCAAAGCGTTCCGAGGCCACTCGGGTCAGAACGACCACGCAGCCGTTAGCCAGCGCCGCCCCCAGCAGCCCCACCCAGGTGAGCCGCGACGCCGACACCGAGGCCTCTCCGAAACTGGCCAGCTGCTCCCCGACCCCTTTCCCCGGGCCTTTGCCCGCCCTGGCTCCCGCTTCGCCGCTATCGCCGCCCCTGCCGGCCGGAGGTCTCGGGGCGGCGCCCTTGTCCTTGTCTTTGGAGCCAAACAGAGCGAGCGGCCACCTCTTGGTCTCCGTCAGCTGCTTCCTGTCCGACGTCTCCTCCAGGAAGGAGCCGAAGTCCTCAAAGGACGGCGCGTCGTCGTAGCCCTCGTCGCCGGGCTGCGGGAAGTGCGTGTGTATTCCGGGTTGCGGGGAATAAGGGGTCTGCGTGGCATACTTAGCCGTGACGGTGTGAGGGTGGATCTTGACCCGCTTCTTAGCGCCGCCCAGCAGGTGGGTGGACTCCATCGCGCGCGTTGGCAGAGGACAAACCTGCTGGACAAAGAGGAGACATTCGTTATTGGAAAAGACCCGATCTCAACACGATGCAAAATCCGAGTCAGGCTCGATCGAAAAAATAAGTTGCGTTGCTTCCTAGAACATCAACATGAACAGCAACGCCGTCCCAGGCTAATGACGCCCTTCCATGATCCATACATACATCATCCATCCTGTCTCAATCCTCTCAGTGTGTGGCGCGGGTTTGACATTTCTATTTCGAATGGCTCCCACGGTAATAATAGCAGAACGCTGTGGCGTCTCGGCCTCCAAGGTTGTCTGGAAGGGAGTCAAAGCTCCATCCGTGACCAGATAAGAGTCTGCTTCGAAGAGGCGGATTTCATCAGCACTATCTTCAAGCTATTTATTATCAAAATTTGTTATTATTATTATTTTTTTTTTACTTCACCTTGTGGTGGGATGGCTGCCAATGACACTTACGCAAGCGCTCATCTCGCGAGCGGGAAAGACATTATTGGGTGATGGGGGGGGAGGGGGGGGGGAGTGTTATGTCTCCAAACTAGTCTTGGTATTTTAGGTCAAGGAGAACCATATGAACTCTCCCGGCCATTTTGAAATTCAAATTAATCAATCTTTCTATCTAATATATATATATATACACACACATATGTGTGTAAGTGTGTGTGTTTAAAAAAACACAACAATTCAGTTTGTTTCCACAAAATAAAAAAATATATATATTTTAACGTAGTGGATTTACTGTTTGAAAATGATCTGAAATGACGTTTAAAATATACATTTCTGATAACACGTCTTGTAATTTCCTGCAATAATTTGAACTGGGCAAAAATGAATACTTTTAAATAGTAAATGTCCAATCACTGAAATAAATGGAATTAACAAAGTAAAATAAAAAAAATATTCATCCGTAGCTTTCTATGTTCTACACAAATTTTTAATTGCTTTTATTTCATCTTTGCTTTTTTTTTTTTTTTTTTTTTTTTTATTTGCTGGATGCTTCCCAGCCACGGTATGAGACCAAAGCTTGGCCACATTTCTCTGATGACATTTAAGAAGCGCCTTAGCAGTCACCACGCGCCCGGGACGGATCGCAATGTACCTCTTGTCTTTTATGATTGTGCTGCACCACCGCAATCGTCTGTTTTGCACCTGGCGACGCAGCTTCAAGTCTAGAACCGTCTTTGCCTCACATTTCATGCACAATTTAAGATGTTTGGCAAGGCGCTTGTCACTGAGACATTTTCCTACTGCATTTAAATCTGAGTGTGGGTGTGTGTGTGTATGAGTGTGTGTGGGTGTGGGTGTGTTTGTGTGTTTGTGTTGCCCAGGGCATGTGTGTCATTATGTAAATGCACGTCTGTCTGAGTGTCTTGCTCATCATGGGGTCATGTGATTTTCAAGGTTATTCGGGACCCCCTTGGCGATCATGCATATTATATATATATATATATATATATATATATATTCTGCAAATGTTTTGAAAAACTCAGTCGTCTCGCCCGTATCTCAACGCACCACTCTCCTTCTTTGGTGGATAAAAGTGCAGACGTAATATATATATATATATATATATATATTTTATTATCATGAAAAACACTCACCTGCAAACAAGCAGCTGGTCATTCAGTCACTGAGCATCCTCCCATCCATTGCCTCTTTTCCAGGCCATTTGCTCCCCCCACATCCCCCACTTTGCCTTTGCCTGCATGCGGCAGTTGAGAATCGTCCCAAAAGGAGGACCACCCGGACCAGGATGAGACTGCAGAGAAGCCACCTCAGGACCGGGAGGAGGAGGAGGAGGAGGAGGATGTGCGTTATATGGCGACCCGCTGCTGATCGTCCATCACTGTCTGATGCAGAGGATGCTCCGCCTTACACACAGAGGTAAAGAGAGGGAGAGAGGAAGAGAGAGAGGAGGGGGTGAAGCTAATCATAGAGTCTGAGCATGCGTCAACATGAGCACTGCAAGCTTTGCCCATTTTGGATTTGAAGATTCCAAGTTTTTTTTTCGTCTTTTTCGAGATTAAAGGTCGTCATATTTCAAGATAAAAGGCGTAATGTTACATGGAATACAATTGAAATGTGTGTGTGTGTGTGTGTGTGTACAGAAAATCTTTGTCACACATCCCGTCACACCCCAAACGAGGACGTCCACCAGTCAACAAAAATTTTCAGTCCACTGGCGCTAACAACTTTGTCAACTTTGAAGGGGCATCTGCTTTTGACAGAGGGGGCATCAAGTTAAAAAAAAAAAACCTTCACCCCTCCCCAAGGATCGAGCAAGCTTTAAAACCTATCAGACACCAGATGGAAATCAGTCATTTTCAATGTCATCCTTCCCTGGAAGGAAAAAGTCTGAAAATTCCAACATTTAATCTAATCAGTTCAAATATTACAAATAAAAATTGTCATTTTTTTCAATCGAATTCTCCACCCAAACCCCTTCAAGAAAAAGTATGAATTTTCCAAATGAAAAAAAAAAGACTTATGAGAATAGAGTCGTCAGAAGAAAATACATCCATGAAATACAAGAACAAAAATGTATGCACTCCAACCAGCCCTGAATTGGTGCTTAGCCTTTACGTAAGTTTGTTTCCTCCTTAGCCTCATCAGTCAGGGACAAAGCTGTCACATCTTCCCTCTGCCAATGACTGACAAACCACAGATGGCTCACAGACGCCCCACACAGGAAACGCTAATATTAAAAGCAGCGGAAGTTGAATCACGAACAGGAGGCCGCTCAGATGGCCACAAGACAGAAAATGCTGCTGGTGGTGTCACGGACTGACGGGATGGCACAACTACACTAGTCACAAAGACAGTCTTAACATTTGGCACACTTACTTAGCTAGTTAGCTAGGTAGCAGCTAGCTAGGTAGTTATATAGTTAGGTAGCTAGGTAGCCGCTAGCTAGCTAGGTAATTATCTGGCTAGGTAGGTAGCTATCTAGTTAGCGAGGTGGCTATCGAGTTAGCTCGGTAGCTTTTGAGTTAGCAAAACTACAACACCCAATTTCAGTGAAAGTTGGAATATAATTGCTCGAGTGCTGTCCACCTTTATGTCGGGCATTGCAAAAAAAGTAGCTCGCCAACCAGCAGGCCACCACCCAAATGCAAAATTCTTTGAATGACCTGAATTTTTCCCTTATGTCTTTGTTTTTCTTTCTAAAGTCAGACTTTTACATCAAAATCTCTGAATTATATTTGGAAGATTTGTATTCCCAGCAAAGTTCGTCCTTTTACGAAAAAGTAGAAAATAGAAACATGATGAGAAATCGGAAGTCTTTTTTTTTTTTGTTTGTTTTATTTTTGCAATCAATTCATACAGAGAAAAAAGTCGGAATAAAAAAACAAAACAAAACATGACATTTCATGCAAAAATCTCGTTAAGTCACCCGCTGCCGCGTTCTCATCAGCGTCCACACTCCCGATTGCATAAACAGCTGACAACACAAATGCGGCACACCAGGATTTTTCTTCCTGATTTTAAGTGAACAACTACACCTTGGCGAAGGTGTGCGCTCCCTAACCGCATTGCCGTTCCACTTCAGCTGTTAAACACAATGGTGGGTGCTGATAAGAAAAGGCCTCTCACTTGAGCCACTGGCTTCCATGCACTCATTTCAGACAGGAAAGGGGAGGAAGATCCATCTGCCGTTGCCATGGTGACCACGGAGTGAGAGCGCAATCGCTATTTAGGCCGTGCTAGTAAAAAAAAAAAAAAAAAACCAGGATTTTTCTTTCCTGATTTTAAGTGAACAACTACACCTTGGGGAAGGTGTGCGCTCCCTAACCTCGTTGCCGTTCCACTTCAGCTGTTAAACACAATGGTGGGTGCTGATAAGAAAAGGCCTCTCACTTGAGCCACTGGCTTCCATGCACTCATTTCAGACAGGAAAGGGGAGGAAGATCCATCTGCCGTTGCCATGGTGACCACGGAGTGAGAGCGCAATCGCTATTTAGGCCGTGCTAGTAAAAAAAAAAAAAAAAAAACGCACACACTGAGTGTATTTGCTGAGGAGGGTCGCTACCAAGAACCGAGAAGAACAGTGTTATCGAGCGGATGAATGACTAATTATTTCATTTTCGACTCTGTTCTCATAAAGTTTAACCCTCGGGCCTTGTTCGATTTTTCTTCCCTCTCACCTTGTTGTTCACGGCCATTTTTGTCCACGTATCGACCGTGTAATTTTGAGGATATCTTTCTTCGTTTACGTTTTCCGCTTCTTTTACTGGGTGGTGTTGAATTAACATTGATTGTTGTCATTCGTATTTAATAGGGGTGTGATGAAAAATAGATTTCAATCGCAACATCGGTTCGGATTTAAAAGATGAATCAAATCATTCCACCTTGAATCAGAGATAGCTAGCTAGATAGCTAGCTGGCTAGATAGAGTGAATGTTTTTTTTTGTTTTTTTTTTTAATAGACATTTTTGACCGTGGCTTGTGTTTGAACAAAAGTAATCATAAAAAAGTCCTTCATCAATGGACAAACAAGCCAACCGTTATCACAATCATCTAAAAACGTCAAAAGACAGGACATTTGAAATGGGCTAGCGCAACTCCCGGGGTCCATTTTTTTTTTTTTTTTTTTGTCCCCCGGCGAGATGAACAGAGATGTTTATCTTCACTGTAATCGACTTTGAGAGTGACTGATTGTGGCGTCTAAAAAGCTGATGCTTACGTTGCCAAGGTTATAGCCCGAGCACAGGCCACAACGGGATAGATGCGCACACGTATTATTCACCACAAAGCCGCCTGTAGGGAAGGTCAATTCACGACTTTTTAAAGAATACACGCTCGTTTGAACGCATTGCATACGGTGATGCATATGTGGCGCTTGTGTAACCCTCCACTGTCCGCGCTGCAAAGAACGGAGAGAAAAGAAAAAAACATGTCTAGATCTGGAGTCACGTTGGCTTCTGCACGATGAGTTTGAAGCACACGCTGAGGAGTTTCGACTGAAATAGTGCAATGCTGCTGTTCTGTCTGGCTCTAATCGTAGGTGTGTGGACGGTTGTCTGTTGGAACCAAACGTAGACACACCTGCGCTGCTGAAAGAGATCCAATGCAAAAGCCGTGCGGAACGTTTTGCCTTTACAAAAGGTTAGATTGGATCCGATACAGTCCGAAACGTACGCGGCAATCACATAAACTGTGTCTTGATACGTGATGTGATACGGTACAAAGTGAGAAGATATAAAATCGAATCTAATATATTCAGATACAGTAAAATATGACACGATACGACACGATACACTGTTATGGTACGATACACTACAATATAATCAGTTAAGATGGGGAACGATATAAGATAAAATATGTCAAAATACAGTACAATATCATGCGATATAAGAAGACACGATATAAAAAAAAAAACAATATAAGATACAATTTGATAAGCCGCGTTAGAATATGATATTACTTGTGACACAGTGTGAAAAGATACAATGTCAGGTACCATACAAAATGTTACGATACCGTACAATATTTTTATAATGATAAGGTACGGGTATTAAAATTTAATATACGATACGATAAGATCAAATACGACATATGATGCTCAATTGCTGTCACAATAGTGTTTCTTTATGTCACGTTAGCGCCATTCATTCCACTGGCTCATCTGGATGAGGGCACTGAGCTGCACGAAGAGCCACACAGTCTGCGGGGAGCTCTGCAGGTGACTGTGAATTATTAAGGCTTGCCCCCCAGTGCCCTTTATGAAGCCCAACCATGAGACGTGTCCGTATATCCTGATTGTGTTGAGATATATGACACAAATAACGCTAAGATTTCTAAACATGTTCAGAAAGGTACACTGCAACAAAAAAGACAGGACAAAACGCTACAACTTTCAAATCCAAAAATATGTTACATAAGAGGATAAAATAATTCGAGATAAGGTGCAATATGATATGACAACATGCAATATGATATTTTAGAATTCAGTAAGTTATGAAGATGCAATGCACGAATATGTGATCAAATATGATATATGAAGGTTAAATTGACATCGTAAAAAAAAAAACTTAAGTCAGATGGGTGAACAAGTAAGCGAAAGGATTTTTTTTCCTTGTTTTCCCAAAATATTGAAGAATGACTTTCAATTGTGCTACATGGCTGACGATATTCAATCAATAAAAAGATAATGAATGAATACTATTGATTGAGTACTTTAAAATAAACTTTGTGTATAAATGTGAAATCTCAACAGGTAAACAGAAGATACTCTAACAACTGGACTTTTCACTCTTATGTCGTAAGGGTGGCGTCACGAGACGTCACATTGTTGTAACCGCATAAGTAAGGCTTTTTTTCATGAATGGGTAGAAAAGGGTTGGGTCACCGCTGAATGTTGTTTAACATTGCAGAAAGTTAATATATGAGAAGCTTAAGCGAAAAGAGAGGTGGCAAAGACGTCGGGGTGAGACCACCGCCACTCGCGCGCGCGTCCTCGACCCCCTATTACTCGAAGGCAAGGCGCGTGCCCGACGCAACGCACGTCCGTCGCGGAGTGTCCGCCAGGGGGCAGCCGCGTCCCAGCGTGAGGCTGCGCCGCTCCCGCTGCACCGCAGAGAGGAAAATACCACCAGATGGCGGTTTAGGATTGCTGCTCTTCTCTGCGAGGCAACCTTCCGCTCGCACGGGCCAATTTGCCAATATAAAATAAGGCCAAATAATAAAAAAGGGGATCGATTCGTCGCTGCGGGACGTGACGCTGCAGCCGGGGATGGTCGTTAAAGGTGAGTGCCCGGTGGTTTTTTTGTCGTGCTTTTTTTTTTTTTTTTGTGAGGCGGGAAAAAGGGGGTGGGGGAGAAAGACGGGCGTACAGATTCAAGATGGTGGACGCGCTGGAAAAAGGGAAGGCTGCCGC